CAAGTGAGATGAACCGTAGGTCATACACAGCAGAAGAAAAACTACGTGAACTTGAAGACATAATTAGGGAAATAACCAAAACGCAGGACCAGAGAAAGAGCAACGTGTTGGAGAGCTCAGGGCCAGCCGTACACAGCTTGATGCACATATAATTTGAGTCTCCAAATGAATGGGACAAAGAACTGGAGAAAAATATTTGCAGACGGCTGAGAGTTTTTCCAAGTTACCTAAAGACTATGTAGAGTACCTACAAGTCACGTGAGCCTCAAAGAGAAGAAAACAAATCTTAAAAAAATGCACCTAAAATAAAATTGCTGAAATGCAGAGTTAAAATCTTGAAAATGATAAGAGGAAAAGGACACAGCACATGAAAGGAACAAGGCAGAGAGCTACAGCAGACTCTAGCAGGAGTAGCAGGTTTACAAACTGGGAACAAAAACAGAAACTCCTCCACCACTCAGCCACCTTAGCTCTCTACCCTGCTTCAGCGGCCACAGCCTTCCGATCTGAGGATAAATAAATTTTCAGATAAGATAGCTTATGCCCAACGGGTCTGTGCAACGAGAAAAACTGCAGGAAGTCTTTCCTGCAAAGGAAATGATATACAATGGAAGTCTGGATCTAAGAGCGATTGGGAATGGTGAATGTATGGGTAAACATGAAGGGCTTTGGCTTTGGTTTTGTTTGCTACTTGAGGCAGGATCTCAGTATGGAGTCCAGGCTGGCCTCAATCTCGCCACCCTCCTGCCTCACCTCTCACCCTCCTGTCCCACCCTCAGCCTCTCAAGGGCTGTGATTGCAGGCATGCAACACTGCACCAGGCTCTAGGCTTTCTAGGTTTTAAATCTCTTTAAGTGATAACCACTTACAATAAGAACACTGTGTTATCAGTTTTATAAAGTATGTAATGTTTCTGACAACACCTTGAAGGCCGGAAGGGGGTAACAGACTTATATATTGTGAGGCTATTTGAAGGAGCAGAATATTTGAAGGCAGACAACATGTATTTAAACCTAGAGTGAGCATTGAAAATAGGTACTGATAAGCTAACAATTGAGAAGCCATGAAATCATTTTTAAAGACCTCCAAAAGAAAGAATATAGAGAACACATGTAATGAACAGGAAGAAGGTAGGTTAAAACTCAACCATATGAAAAACACAAAAAAAGATAAATGGTTTAAATATGGCCAATAAAAAATTTCCAGACTGGATGAGGAAAGATTTAGGTTGCACTTCTTTGCCCGTATCAGAATGAGAACCAGGCCCCTGTGGACAAGGTGCCACGTGGGCTTCAGGCAATTTTACTGGAGAAATAGCCCTGTCTGTCCCTTGGGGCTGCAGTTCATCAGTGCTGCTCACACCTAGTACCCTCACACCTGGGATCTGGCCTCTCTTGGATTTCTGGCCTCCCCCAGACCCATCTCCCTCGGAGCCCCCTTTAAATGTTTAAATGTCAGCTCTCTCCACACATTGGGCAGCCTGGCCCCCCAGATGAGGGGCTCTGTACGCCTGCTCCTGCAGTAGGAAAGAGGCCTCTGAAGGCAGAGAGTGCCCCCGGCAGCAAACCCATGACTTCTGTCACCTTTACAAGTCGATGTGGCTGTGCCCCCAGGCTCACCTTTCTTCTTGTGCACACTGGATGTGCAACCCCTGGTTCCCCAGTGAGCCCTCTTTCTGCAGGTCCTGTGGGGAGCTCAGCCAGGCTGTGTGCAACAGGACTGGTGCGTGCAGCCCCTGTGGTTCCACGTGCAGGAGCAGAGCCTAGTCCAGACCACCCTGGGTTTGGGAAACCATGCCATGTGCTGGTGGTTACCTCGTGGGTATACAGGGGACATATCCCAGGCCTCTGAGGGGTGGCATGTCTGCTACTGCGGCCCTGGGCCGATTAGCCTGGCCTGCCACTGGCTGGCTTCATAAGGACAGACAGGGTATATGGCTTCAGGGGCACAGATTCCAGATAAGAATGCAAAGGTGAACCCGAGCCAGGTCAGAGCCGTGAAGAGCAGCCCAGAGGCAGAAGGGGCAGGGAGGCACTGCAGCCTCAGTTTCTTCATCTGCGCCCAGCAGCCTCAGCTCCTGCCCGACTCCACCTTCCTGAGTCCAGTGCATCACCTGATTATGCCTGTGGCACATGTATAGCCATCACTGTCACTGCTGTCTGGCCACCAACTCTGTCCTGTGGAAAACCTGTTCTGACCCACAAGAACAAACTGGCCTGAGTGTATGCAGATCTGGCAGTGGACTCAGGAAAGGAAAGTACTGCCTACCCTGCAGAGATGGTAAACTGAGGCTGGCAAAAGGACTAGCAGAGGTCACCAGCTGCCTGGTGAGCGATGACATCAAGGAGGGCAGGGCTGGGGGTTGGGGGTTAATGCAGGCTGAGCAGACAGGCATCGGTTCCCAGAGGTTACTGCTGGCCAGCAGGAGGTCAAGAAGCCAAGTTGATGGCAAGTTGCTTGTGGGTTCTGCAGGGACACAGCCCACCCTGACCCCAGACCTTCCTGCTTTCCATTTGGGGCTCCTCAATTCTTGGATTGGCCTCAAAGCTTTCCAAATGCTAAGGAGGGTGAAGTGTTTCTAAGACAGTGGTCAGTGATTGTCACAACGTTTGAGAGTCCACCCCAGAAGTGCAAACTGGACAGGTAACTGCTGGGCCCACCTAGTCTCCCCACCACCAACAAGGGGATGTGTCCTCAGGCCACAGCTGGGCTCCTGGTGCCAAGTAGACCACAGTCTTCCTGAGTGGCCTCAAGAAGCCCGGTGGGTGGGGATGCACCCACCATAGGGAGTTCCACTCCTGCATCCACCCATATGGGAGGACTGTAGCAGCCCCCCAGCTGCACGAGTCTAGAGGCACAGCACACACCACCGCCCTCCGTACACAGAGCTGGCGGGGTGGCGGCAGCACCCTTACCCCACAGCATTCAAACCGCCGTGATCAAGTGTCTGCTCAGCAATTTCAGAGCCTCACAACGTGCCAGGTATGGCCACTGCAACATGAGAAAGAATGGGGTCCCTTATAGACAGGGTCCTGTGTGCCCAGCAGACACTGGGTGGCTCCCCAGGCCCTCAAGGAACACTGGTCTCATGCAGGGCACATTCAGCCCCACTGTGACAGTGCACAGCGCAGGGACAAGACATTCCTTTTCTGCCCCTCACTCAGGTGCTGAGTCACCTCGGGCCAAGCATGAGGGCAGCAGAGGCTGCACCTGAGGCCCTCTTCACCTGCCACCACAGTGGCTAGGCCAGGAGCTACCCACACCATGCCTTGTTGACCAGGGGCGCTGCATAACAAACAGGGCAGGGATGTCTGGGCTCCTCCAATCCGAGAAAAACCTCCCTCCTCTCTACTGGGCTTGGCCTCCACACCCCCCATGCCTTGGGCGTGGCTGGACTGCACCCATGGGTCTGTGAAGCCAGGTCCCTGGCTCGGCTCCCTGAAGAATCCTGTTTCTTTCCTACAGGGCAAATGGAAAGGTGGTGTGATGCACACAGTGTCCACATTGGCAAGCGTCTCCCTGATGGCATCTGTTTCAGGAAAAAGCTCTTGTGGAGATACGTGCTTTGCTAGCAGCCAGAAGGCTCATTTCTGATGAAACCTTTTATTTTGCGAGCCGATCTTTCCATGGAGAACAGCATTTCCCTGTGCGAGGGGGTACCAAGGAGGATTTTGGCAAGGGTAGCTGTTTTGGATGTGGTTGTTAAGAGGAGCAACTGTTTTAATAATATCTTCACCTGTGATTTGAGGGAGAAGGTGGGGCCTGGCTCAGATGCATAAGAAACACTCTGACAGGGTCAGTCAGGGTGGTACCACCATGGGCTCTCACATTCCTAAGTATGCGGCCTCTGCTGGCTGGGCTGACTCTGAGCTGGCTCTCCTGGCCACTTCATACTCCCAGGAGTCTACCCTACCCCTCTGGACAGTTCTGACCCACAAGGATGATCAGGAGTGGATCCACACAGGTATGCACACGCACACAGCACAGTGTGGCATTATCAGATGCTGCCCTGTCTGAGGCACAGGGAAGAAGGTGGGTAGTCACAGTGGCAGACAGTGTGGAGCGCAGGGTGCTGAGGACAGTGTTCATGGTGGACAGGCCCATGGACACAGAGTGCAGGACAGTGACAGTGTGCAGTGTGCAGTGGCTGGGGTGCCCAGGTGAGGAGTGGGACTGAAAGTCAGTGCAGTGGCAGCGCTGACAGTGGAGGTGCAGGTGCAAACACTGGAACTTGGTACCACGAATGACAGGCGGTTGTGGTGATGGAGTTGGACCTGGCACAGGTGGTGACTGGGGCAGTGTGTTGAGGTGACTGGAGGCTGGGCTGGCCCATGTCTCTGGATACAATCCAGGAAATCTGGTACCCACAGTGCCCTCCCCCCACCCCATTGTACCTCCAGCAGCCCACCAGTGACTAGTCAGGGTCACCCCTGCGGTGCAGGGACAGACCTGGCACTCGGCCTTGTCCTTCCACCCCAGACATCCCCTGGCGAGTCCTGTTGAGGCTCTGTGCCTGAGTGGCCAGCACAGGTTGAAGGCTCTGGGCAGGACCCCTCCACACTGCCAGGTCTGCCAGCCCTGCCTGCCCTGTCTGCAAAACAGTGGGGGAAGCCACAGCAGGAGGCAAGTCACAGCCTCCTGTCACTGGGCCTCCAGGACCACCTGGGGACCTCGCAAATGGCCAGAAGAGGGACCAAGACACTCACAGGCCAGGTGCCCACTCGGGAAACTGAGGCCGAGGCAGCACGTCCGCTGCCACCTCGCCTTTTGCGAAGGGGCCCGCGCAGCATAGTCCCCGCATGGCTGGACGCAGCGGCTGGAGGCAGCAGTGCCGAGGTGTCCGGGCCGTGCCCCGCCCCGCCGCGCTCTGCCTGGGCCTCGGTCCGCCTGGCGCAGAGCGCTGTCCTCATTCCACCCCGGCCGCTGGCGGGTGCCAAGTCCCGCGGCGGGAGTCGGGGGCGGGCGGCGCGGGACAGCCCTTCCCGCGCCCCGGTACTCACGTAGAGGCCGGAGTGCTCGGTGCCGAAGAAGGGGAAGGGCACGGAGAGCGGCCGCAGCCCCGAGCCGCCGTCGTCCTGTTTCGGGGTCACGGCATCTCCGCGGGCCGTGCCGAAAGGGTAGAAGTCGGAGAGCGCCACGGCGCCGCGCGCCCTGCGCGCCCCGAGCCCCAGCACCGCGGCCAGCAGCAGCGCCAAGGCGGCGCCGCGCCGCATCGCGAGTGCGCTCTTCGCGGTCCACGCGCAGGTGGCCGCGCTGTCCAGGCTCCGCTAGGGCGCCAGGCAGCGGGCACCCTTAAGTACTCTCACGGCCGGCCGGGGAGGGGGCGCTGGGCGGGGCGGGGCGGTGCATGCAAATGAGATGCCCTTAAAGCGCTAGGCCAGTGGCCCAGGCTCCACCCCGGCCCGTGTGACCCAAGGGCTCCCCTGGGCCCGGGTGCTAGTTGGTAGCTTGCCTAGGGCCGACCTAGAGGAGGTGACTGGACCCGCAGCGCAGTTTATCCAGATCCAGGACCCTAAGATGCCCCACTTCCGGGGACCTGGGGTGTCAAGGCACCAAGCAGTGTTTGCCTGTGCCACGGGAGGGGACATTCCAGGGGAGGTTTCCTGCCTGTGCAGGTCCTGAGCTCGGCGGGCCCTCCTACAAGGAGAAGGTCACTAAGGCCCTAGAGCCCACCGATGCTGCTGGCCTGCCTAGCAGGAGAGGGCCCCAGGCGTTCCTGGTGTGGACTGAGCTTCCCGGCTGGCTGTCCTCCCAGCTGGCGCTCAGGGCATCACTCTGAATCTGTCCCTATGCAGCAGGGCTCATCTGGTCCCCCTGAGTCCCTGGGCTCTGGACTCCTGCACCTTGGGCCCCATCATCCTATCTGCTCTCAGATACCAGTGTTGGCCAAACTTGGGCCCTAAAGACAAGCGAGCACTGGGAAAGGTGGGTGGAAGAGCTGCATAATGACGCTGCTGCCACCAAGGTGGTGGTTTCATGTTTAGCTCATTTTTCTGTACTGTTCCCTAAAATGTCTCCAATGTGTCACTGCAAAGAACATGAAACATACTGTTAAGAGGCAGTGGTGGGTCCCCTGTGAGGGCCATGCTGAGCCTGGAGCACCACCCCAGTCCAAGCTCCCAGCTGCAGTATCCAAGCTGGGCACAGGACAGGAGGAGGCTCCCACTGACTGCCCCTGTGCCAGCATGACACTCAGCTCAGTGTGAGATCTTGCACCTGGAGTCTGGCTTGTCTGTTCCTGTCCCTCCAGTTGGTAAATCCAGCCCATTTTGGAGGGGTAAACTGAGGCTGGAGAGATGTGGGCCCTGGCTCACAATACCTGTCAGGGAGTCAGCCCGGGGCCAGCTCCTGGCTTTGAGACCCCTAGGACAACAGCACCACTGTGATGTGATGCGCCACACACTGCAAAGAGGACAGGGGCCAGGACAAGGTCCCTGCGTTGGAGATTCAAGGACGGAGTTGCTAGGGGGCTTGGCTGTGTGCTGAGGTCCCAGGAAGAGGACCCTGGGGCAGCCTGGCAGCCTCCTCTCTCTCTGTTGCCAGTTGGGGCCTGCCGGCCAGCCCTGCCACCTTAGTGGGTGGTTTTCTGGGGTGAAGGGCAGGGCTTGGCATGAAAGAGGTCACAGCCTGGCCTGTGAGGCTATGCTTCCCACCCCCGCATGTCCCCACATTCCTGCTGTCTCATCTCAGGGCACATGCCTCAGTGGGCCCTTGTAAAAGGACACTCAGCAGGGCTGGGGTCTACCTGGGGATCCCTGGGGCCAGTGCTGCCCCAAGGCCCAGCACACTGCCAGGCATACAGTGGTGCTTAATAGGTGCACAACCGAGTGGTGGGACACAAAGACATCTGGCTGGCCGCCTAGTGCTACCCCTCAAATAGTGGTGTGGGAGTCCAGGCTGGCCCAGCTCAGGGACACCTCCAAACTAGGACCCCAGAGTGACCCACTGACCTGCACTGGCCTTGCTGGGCACCCTGGCTTTCGCCTCATGCCGACTCCCAGCCAGGCCTGGGAAACTTGGGGTTAACTCTGGCCCCACAGCTGCTGGGCATCGCATTTCATCACACACACACACACACACACACACACACACACACACACACACACCTCCACAGGCAAAAAAGAGAAAAAAATGTTTTTTTCAGGTGCTAAAAATATGATCAGGAAATACTTTTCAGCAGTGTGCTGTTTTAGGTCCCCTGCTGGACTCAAGGGCGCCTTTGTCTCTGCCACAGAAAATCCACATTTATCAAAACCAAAATTGCTTTATCAAGTGGGCTCATGTTCTGCGGCAAGAAACTCGAGCCTTCCCCACGGGCCCATGACACTTTAATTTAGGGCCTGATTTGTGTGTAATGTAGGCAGGGAGCTCCAGAGGCTCCCTGCGTGCCTCCTGGGGCACTCAGGACTTGGTCACCTGGAGAGAGAGGAGGGGAGAGCTAGGCTGGGTCTCAGGCCCTCACCCACCTGGTCCCACCATACAGGCACAGCCAGAAGCCTGAGCCCCAGTGAACCCCCCAATCCAGGATGGAGAACCCAGGACAGGGAAAGAGGGAACAGCGTCTCCTGAGAGGCTATGGGGAGCAGGCAGGGAGACTCCACAGCACCATCCGTGCCTCACTGCACCCGTGCAGACTTCAGCTGCTCGTCTTGAGGAGGAGTAGGCAGGGCTGGGCAGTTGCTTGATGCCAAGAAAAGAGGGAGGCAGCAGATGCAGCAGGCGCTGGCACTCCTGCCCTGCGGGCACCTCCTCCATCCCCCAGCACTAAGTTGATCCCCTCTGCTCCTGGAGGAGTTGCACATGAGGTCAGGGATGCCCAGAAATGCATGTGTGGCCCCAGGTTCCACAAGGTGTCCTGCGCCCCCCTGCATGGACAGTTCCCCTTGTTCTCTCCCTGCTCTGGTCCCTGGACATCCTCTGCTGATAAAGTCATGTTTCAGAGGCATCTTTAATGACACAAAAACCCTAATGACATTACACCAAGTAAAAACTGCTTTTGAAAAGTAGTTTCCAAGTAGTGCACAAGCTGTGATCTCAATGATCCCAAAGGGTAGGAGGGTCCCTGAGGCCTGGTGCCTTCAGGATGGGCCACTTGTGAACCCCAAGTGGTTCACCTCAGGGTGGGAGGCGGTTCTGGTTCTCTGTGACTTATTTATTTATTTTGCAGTGCCAATCCTGAACTGAGTAAGGATGGAAACAGTGAACATGGACCACATGACAGGGGTGGCCTCCAAAGACCTGGCTTGGAGCAATTTGCCCCCAAGGCCACCTAGGAACCACACACAGAGCCTAGGGCACAAACCTGTGTAAAAATCCAGTGTCTACAAGGCACCTGAGGGCCACATCCGAGCCCCACTGCCACCTGGAGAAGCTGCTCAGGCTGGAGGAAGGAATCTCACTGTGGAAGCCTTGCAGAGGTGGGGCCATGCCTTTTCTGGAGCCCTGGGAGCCAGTCACTGTGGGGCTGTCCCGGTGTTGTCTCCTTAGACTGGGTACCGCACAGGGCAGACATCCAGCCCCTGTCCTCCTTGCTTACCCAGCTCCCTGGAACCTCCCAGAGGGCACTGCTGTCTTCCAGGTAGGGGGACACTTCTGCCTGATGCCAGGCCCTGCGTTTTGCAGGCACTGGGGCAATGAGGCGCTCCTCTTATGGTTCTCTGCTGCCTGTATCTGGCTACTGTGAGTGGGTGTACAGCCATCTGGGCACCCTGCTGCCACTAATTCCTGTGCTCAGGGCTTCCCCTGGGAACCCTTTCTCATTCTGCCACTGGTGAGAGGGTGGTGTGGACCTGCCCAGCACTGACTTCTGGGGTTTATAATATAGTAACTCTGTTAGTGGGTTCAAATAAGTCCGAGGGCTGATCAGACAGGATAGCCTTCAACAACAGGGACACAGCCCACAGTGGTCAGCACGGGGCTGTGGCCCACACCTGGGCATCCTGGGATGGACACACAGGGTTTTCCTGCAGCCTGGTGCTGGAAAGGGGCTTTTTTCAACATGAGAGCCATCCTAGAGGAAGATACACCCACTAAGCAGCTCTGCATGGGGACCAAGGACTAGCTGGTGGCATGGCGGGCCCCGGATGGAAGCCACGGCCCTTGGCAACTGGGGCTGGATTCCCATGGGAATTTTCCCAATGTCTCCAGGCCAAGAACCAGGGAGCCTCTGGAACAACTTCAGATTTCACACTCCAGCGCCACTTGCGGCCAGTGAGTCACGAGGCCTCGAATCTGAGTCATTTCCAGCCACCTGCCACCGTGACAGGCAGCAGTTCCTGGATGCGGGAGGTTCCACAGCCTCTGGATGGGGATGTGGTGGCTGGCTGTGCGGGACATTGTGTTTTTGGCTCCGGTTGGTGGAAATGTTTCCCACGTGCTTCCCGGTGTTTACAGAGCGAGGCTGGGAATGCAGCCTGTGGCCAAGAAGCCAGTCCGACAGGGCCTGGCCACTGGGATCTGGCAAGAATGGCACGTCCAAAGCGGAAAGGAGCACCAGGCCACGGGTGGGTGCCCAAGGCCTGCTCCCCATGGTGGGAAGGGTGTTGGCAGGGAGTGACTGGCAGCCGGCAGAGGGCCCGTGGGCGGGGACTTCACAGTCCGAGGAGCCAAGCCGGAATGCCCTGGGGAACAGGTCTGAGCACTGGCCAGGGTGCCGACGCCCTCTCTCACATTTGGTCCCCTTTGCAGCACCACTGAATTTTCACAGCTTGGGTCCCCTACCCAGAGGAGCCTGGTCCTGGCTGCTCAGGGTTGCAGGCAGCCAAGCAGCCCAGTGTTTACAGCAGGGCTCACTGCCTGGCCTGGGAGGCCCGGGGGAGGTGGGCACGTCTGTGCTGTGGTCGCACTTCCCGGTCCAGCTGCTCCTTCAGGCTGGCCATCTGGGGAAAGCCAGGAGCCTGGTTAGGTGGAGTTGTGGGCAATGGCGTGTGGCCAGGGCCCCAGCGCAGGATGTGGAGGGCTGGGTGCTGCAAGGAGGCATGTGTCGGAGAGTAGCAGCCAGAGGGGATGCAGGGCCCTCACCGTGAACACCACCCATGGCGTGCAGGCACAGAGGTCACTGCCCACCCACAGTGGACAGCCCCTTCCACACTGACCAGGAGACACAGTGTCAGGGAAGTAAACATGGCTGGTGGCTCAGGGACGATGACAGGGCTGACCCAGGGACAAGATGGGGCCTGTTTCTTTGACTGTGAAGCAGGGTTCTGAGCACAGGGTTCTGAGGTCTGGCAGGTTTGAGTCCCACAGCCCTGCCCAGCAGGCATGCTATGCATGGACGTGTGGTACCCTGCAGTCCCATGCCCAAGAACCGTGCCCACATGTGTGACACATGTAAGGACAGGAGCAGCCTCAGGGCTCAGCTATGTATGCCAGTTCCCAGCCTGTCTCATAGCCATTTCTGGCCATCCCACTCTGCAGACAAGGGACGGAGCCCAGAGAGCACCGCACTGCCCTGGAAGCCATGCCCCTCCCGTCCAGGTTCCCTGAGAGGGCAGCAGGACAGGTGCTCAGGGCGTGGTTGCCTCCTAGGCGCCTGACCTCCCTCCTCTGCCTTGGCCCCGCCCTACCTGCACCTCCAGCCCCTTCATTCGATGCTGGTGGGTCTGCTCTTGGGATGCCAGGACCTGTGTGGCCTGTAGCTGGGCCTGCAGCAAACACATGGGCCCTCACTGCCCACTGCAGTGAGGGGCTGCCCAAGGGTCTTCTCTGTCCTCAGGTACTATTCCCTTCCTAGCCCTGCTGGACACTGCTGGAGCCTGCTGGGTCTCCGATCCAGGCCTGACCCAAGCCATGACCTCAGAAGTCTGTTGAGGGGTACCCACTTTCCCACTGGCCCTCCCAAGGTCCTGTGAGCCCTGAAGAGGACATAGGCCTGTTCCCTCCCCCAGGGGCTTGTCTGGCTGGGTCTGGTGATAGAAGGGGAAACTAAAGCCTCTGAGCATCATGTGTGGGGTCAGCCCTGGCCTGAGGAGCCCTCTTAGTCTGTGCACCTCACAGGCCTGCTTGTGTCCCTCCCAATCTGTAAAGCTACGCCTGGCTCACAGGGGCCCCCACAGACCCCACACATGGAGACTGCAGTGTTTCAGGAGAACAGGGGCCCTGGAGAAAACTCAGGTGTAACCCCAGGTGAACCTCGCCACTGCTCTGGTTCCAACCCGTGTCCTCCCTCAATGACCTGGGACTCACACCTGCCCACACCCACTCAGGTCCCCACTAAGGCTGCAGAGTGCTGTGTGCTGGCCAGCTCACCTGTAGCTGCTGATTCTGTTGCAGGACTCCGTCCACATCCTGGTGTAGGCTGATCAGGGACTGGCCCAGCTGCCCCTTCTTGGCTGCCAGCTCCTCCCGCTCTGTCTGCAGAGAAAGGGGACTTGTAGTGGGCTGCTCTTGGGGAGCCCTGTGCCCCTGGGAAGGGCTTCAATCCTCTGGAGCTGGCAGGGTTCCAGGTCTGCTGCCAGAGTGGGAGCTCAAGAGAGCAGGGCCAGGAGACCTCAAAGAAACCCTCTCCCTCCAGGTAGGTGGTACCCTCGCCTGCAGCAGTGCCCCAGGTTGAATGCACACACGTCCTGGTGCCTGTGCTAACCCCATCCGAGGGGGCCTACAGCAGTGGCATTACCGCTCTTCTCCTTGGGCTGAAGCTGCCCTGGCAGTGTCCTTTTCAGTCACAGGCTATGGGCTCAAGTACCAGGAAGCAGCTGCTTCCCAAGTGCAAGCCATTGGCTCTGTGGCCCTGTGCCTCGGGTCAGCTCCACTGAGCCTCTGAATCCTGTCGCTTGTGTGGAGATGACTTAGAAGAGGGGCCCTGCCTGCAGCCCCAGGGGCCTGGGGCATCCTGCTGTGCCACTCACAAGCTCACCAGCCCAGGCGGGCAGCAAGCCAGGCTTGGCACCAAGTCCTGCTCATTGCTGTGCAGTGCCTGCCCTGCCTTCCGCTTGCTGTGGCCAGGAACATTCACTGGACAGGGGCAGTGGCCTGGAAGGCCTCCCTCAGGCCTGGAGGACCTGCGCTCCCACCTGGGTGCCTGGGCCACCAGATGTGGTGGGTTTACATTGGTAAAGTTATGGGGTCAGTGGCTCAAGTTTTACAAAATTAAGAACTGCTTTCTTCCAGACCAGAAAAACAAAGGGTTCCTTTCCACTGGAAAAGGAGACTGTTTCTTTAAAAATCCAGTTACACTCCTGGAAGTACATGTTATAAAGAGAAGAGAAAAGTGAAATCCAAAATAAATAAATGGCCACATCCGGGTTTCCCCTCCTGAGACACCAATAAAGGGTTTATGGGCTGTGGGCCCCGCACAGCTGACCTCCTGGAACTCATTAGCCGTTCCTGCCCTCCCCCATGGGCCCCAGGGACCTGGGTTGGGCACAGTGCCCACAGCTGGCTCTGCTGCCTGGGCAGTGACATCGCAGCTGGGGTGGACACACAGTCCTCCCTCCCCCACAGAGCATTGCTCCCCAGTTCGATGGCTGAGCAGGGCCTGCCCAGCAGGATGGTGGCAGGATCTTGGTCTTGGAGCCCACTGGCTGCTCCTTTTTCATGGGAAGGCAGGTGGCCCTTTGTGGACAGCTAGCTAGTGGTTTTCATGACTGTCTTGGTCAGCTGGCCTCCATCCCTGGGCAGGTGGGGTTGTGGCAGTAGGAGGCCATGGGAAGGGTCTCCTCCTCTGGGCCTCCAGTTCCTTTGCATCCCCTGCACTGGCACTGCCATCTTCCCTGCTCTGCAGACAGATGGGTCCTGTGGGCCAGGCACTGGCTGCCAGTGTCCAGCACATGTCCTTTCAGCCTGTCCAATATGCCCTGGCTGTGTACCGTACCCTGTGCTGTCCTCTGGGGAGCCACAAGGGTCACAGCCGGCCCCCCACCCTGGGTTTCTCCCAGCAGGGGCCCCCTCAAGGTGCTGGGGCACTGGGCTCTGAGACTGCAGAGCAGGACAGGACTCAGAGGGAGAGGTCATGGAGTCTACAGGGTTGGGTCTGTAGCAAGCACGGTCTCCCCGACAATGTGCATCCTCAGGGGATGCCCCTAGACAGAGTTGCTTATGGTGGGGCAAGAAACTGGCCCTGGGACTCCTTGGACACCCTCTAGCCTCAGTTTCTCTGCTGCCATCTGGGACTTGGATGCAGGGCAGGTCTCCAGCATCTGCCCAGGCTTCCCACCCTATGTGCCCCTCACTGCCTTTCATGATGGCATCACTGCCCTGTCCTGCCTGCCCACCCACCCTCATTGATGGGCCATGGGGCTGCTGCTCCAGCTCAGTTGCATTCTGCTTTCCTCGAGGGCCTAGAGCTGTGCGTCCAGTTGTTCCTGGGGGAGGAGACACAGGCCTCTGTGCCCAGACTGGGGTTGTTGCAGTAGGATTGCTGGGAAGTGAACAGCAAGGACACTGTCAATGACAGGGTGGCCAGGCTGAGTAGCTGGGTTGCACGGTTGGGTGCAGTGGCACACATCTGTCCCCCTTACACTCAGGGAGGCTGAGGCAGGAAGATTGAAGGTTTGAGCCTGACCCGGGCAACTTAATGAGACCTGGTCTCAAAATTAAAAATAGAAAGGGCTGAGGTGCAATAAAACAAAAAACAATAGCAACAACAAAATACCAGCTTGTGCCCTTAAGGTGACATGAGGGGTGTGGACTTCTGGAAAGCCAGAGCTGGGCCTCAGTGACAGGAAGCCTATTAGGTGGCCAGTAGGGCCTGGTGTGGGCAGTGGGTGGGCTGCAGGGTCTCCAGAGCCGGTTCAGGAGATGCATGGTGCATGTCCCCCTGCTCTCAGCCCTCAGGGTCTGGGCCTTAGAGCAAAGACCTCTGAAGAGGTCTCTAGGCTCACAGAGCCAGTGAGGCTCAGGCTGGATCCTTCTCTCCTCTCCTTGTGCCTTCCTGGCCTCTAGATCCCCATCCCTACCCACTGCCTGGCCCAGTGGCTCAAGAACTGGGTGGGTCTGGGGCCATCGACAGTGATGGGGAGGTGGAAATGGGTGTGGGTGACATCTGAGTCCTGAGGCCCAGGACACTGCTGGTCAGGAAGGAAAGGCTGCATCAGGAGGCCAGAGAAGCAAGAGGAGCCTACAGCTCAAGGCCAGAGGGTGCACAATCCCCAACGCACAGGGACTCAGGCCCAGAAGACTGGCAGATGGCAGTTACCTTGGCAGTGGGCGCAGGGGATGCAGAACCAGAGGACTAGGAGATGGTGGTGACCTTTGCAGGGGGCTGAGGGTGTTGGGAACAGGAGCTGGGTGGCAGCAGCTGGGCTGAGGTGGGTCAGGAGGTGGTATATAGGAATCTGGGACACACAGTATAAGGTCCTCATGGGAGGTAGCAGCCTGTCTGGGAAGCCCTGGCCACTAAGCACTCTAGGGCTTCCCGCCCAACTGTCACCACTGAGAGGGGCTGCAGTAGACAGAGCCTCCAGCACCAGGCTGGATGGGGGAGCCTGGGTGGGCTCCCTGAGCACTCTCTAAAATACCTGACACGCTATTACTTATAGCAAGAGAAAGGGGGACCTAAGATTTCCATGTTTCACTCTTCCGTACAAGTTTGAAAATTATAGTTTTTTACCGCTATACATTTCCCAGCAGAAAAGCAGATGTTTCCTTCCAATGTAGCTTAAATATTTCATGGTAGTTTTAAGAGGCCCCAAACCAATTACACGAAGCATCATGCTCCTCCGTAATGACTAGAATTTATGGAATTCAGATTAACCATCGTAGCTGAGTGGTTCACCCTGCCAGGCACCCTGGGCCTCACTGTGTGGGTGGGGCCACCCATGTCCCTTTGGCTCTGAATCCTGACCCTGAGCAACAGGCAGGTAGGCAAAGCAGCTCCATGGATTCTGCGGCCTGAGGGCTTACGCAGCCGCAGGAAAGAGGGAATCCCAGCCCTGCCCCGAACTGAGCAATAGTGTCTCAGGCCCTAGGGTGCCCACTGGGAGCCTGAGTGGGAGGAGCTAGGCTTGGGACAGAATCATTCTGGGCTCAGTTTCCCACAAGTGTGCCCTGAAGACCAAGGGCACAGTGCAGCCTCAGGACTCTTGTGGAAACTAAGAAAGATGAGAGGACAGTGGCGGAAGCTGGGGGCCCCAAGGTGTCCCAGGGGGCCATGGAAATGAGGAAGTCTTCCAAGGACCCTGCACTGGGTGGAGGCTAAGTTGGCTCAAGCATATCAGGGGACAGAGGTCCCCACTCAATGTCCCTTGGCTGCATGAGGAAGGACAGAGCAGGCCGCCCATACCCTGAATCCAAACCCTGGGCCCTGGGAGTCAGGTCCTCAGTACAATGCCTTTGTGTCCACCAGTGACACGGCCAGTCCCATTGTCCACTGGCATACATCTCCTGGGCTCAGTGCAGGTGAAGGTCTGGTCTTACCTGGACCACATAGTACAGAATTGGCTCAGGAAGCCCTTAGATGCAGGAACAAGTCTCAGTTTACTGTATGGGAGCCCAGATTATGGCAGACAGGCCACCTCTGGATCTGCTGTCCATGCCTCTGTCCATACCATGCAGCCAGCTTCACTGTTCTTTCTTAAACTTTCCTGCCAGATCACTAACATTTATTCTCCCCATGCACTGCAATCAGCCTGACCAGCTCACTCTAAACACACCACAGACAAATAGACAAAACCAAACCAAAACTGTGGGCAGCAGGCAGCCAGCGAAGAGGCCCAGTGGAGAGACTAGAGCCACCCAGAAGGCCACCCAGAAGGCCACCGTCCCCAGTGCTAGATAGGAGCACAGAGAGATTACCTTTGGATTAAGGAATAGGTGAAAACAGAACCTCTGAGAAACTGGTAAAAAGGGGGAGACTTCACATCAAAAACCTACGGTATACATATCAAACCACAGCAAGGGAAAATTCAATAACATTAAACGTTCTTGGAACAGAGAGAGAAAGCCCGAAGGTGAATAAGTCTTGTGTTCCATTAAGAAATTAGAAAAAAAGAAGAGAAAGTTATAGTGATAGAAGCTGAAATGAATAAACTAGAAAAAACAAGAGAAATGACACGAGACTGCAAGCACGTCCCAGTGAGGGAACAAAACGCTTTCAGGTCGAGGACAGAGGCTGGGACTGTGACAGTTGGTGGCATGCACAAGGTGCCTGCGACCAACCTCCAGTCCCAGGGCACAGCAGGCTGTGGATGTCTGAGTCCACACACTCACACACGCAGGATGGCAACTCCCTAAAGACAAGCCCTGATTCACAGGGAGTTAGTAGGGAGAGGATGAGGGCAGAGGAAGGGTCCAAGAGGGAATCGAAGCGTATTATTTAGGACGACAGGTACTCTGCAGAGTTTACAGCACAGTTCAGTTCATTCTGAGAATCCTGGGCTATCCAGGTGACAGACAGAGAAGCAAGCTCACAAATTCGTTTCAAACATGAAATATTCTTAGCGCTAAGAAATCTGAAAAATATGGCACATGAAGGAATTATAGGAAGTAAACATTCTCAACAAATCAGGAGGAACGGATGCCAACTGAATTCTAGTGCAGGCCCAGGGCGTGAGTGCCCCCAAGCTAGGCAATACCTCCAGAACCTGAGCGAGTGACAGGCTGGCAGCAGAGCCCTTGGGGCTGGACGTGGCACACAGGGTGCAGGGCAAAGAAGGTGCTGGCAGAAGTCCAGGGATACAAGACCCCCTGAGCTGTTGGGGCCTTGATGGGGCGCCAGTCTGTGGTCACATGGGCAGCCTCTTGGGGATGCAGAGGGCGTGTGGGGGCAAAGCTGGGTGGGCGCCAGGCCTGCCTGCCCGGAGGCCCGCCAGCTGCGTGCGCCCGGCTGTGCTGGGCGCGTGTCCCTGTGCGCCGTTGGCTGTGCGCTGTTGCTCTGCTGGGTCCTGGGTTGCCCTGGCAACAGGGAGGGACTGGCTCTAAACAAGAGTTGCACTGTTCGAACAGCATAGCCTACCATTTAATTAGAAAAATATGTTTTTAATTAACTTTCTCTTGACAAGCATGCTGGCTGATGTGAAATGGGGGAAGCGAGCTGACCAGAAAGTGAAAGAAGTGGTGTGGAGAGCAGAGCTTGTTCCAGATCACCCTGGAGCTGTAGGGGGCAATGGAGGGAGCCACATGGGGCCCAGGGGCCAGGCTTGCCCTGCCAGCTGCCGGCCTGGCCACAGCATGGCCACGTCCCCATCCCTGACTGGCTACACCACGTCTTGCACTCTGGCCTGGGCTTGTAGTCAGAGGTGGGTCCCGGGAAGATGGCCACATGGGACCATCAGAACCTCAGGCACCCACCACAGGGACCAACAGGTTGCAAAGATTAAGAGATCCTCGTCAGAGCTACAGACCAGGGACTCTGAGGGTCCCTGGAAGCAGATGGAACCAATGGCCCTCAAAGAAGACAAATGGTGCTTGCCAGAATTCCAAGAAAGAAGAGAGGGTTTAGCAAACATCACTAAACAAGCAAGTAAATTCAACATGGAGCAAAGAATATCTAAGCAGTCCCAGTTCACTTCAGCCACATGTACCCTAAGGCAGCCCCTATGCCTGTGGGGGGCACACCTCAGGGGACCCCAGAACCCCTGGGAGCTGGGCTTGGGAAAGTGGGCAGCTCTACCCCTCAGGGCCTGACAGGTCCCTGTGGCTGAGAACCAAAAGACCCCAGACACTGGATGCAGAATGAGGACTCTCATTCTGTTCTTCTTTGGGCCTGTCTCAACAGGACCACTGAAGTCCAGATGGCTCCTTCTACCCTGCCTGTTGTCAGGATCAGAACACCCTGCTTTTGGCATGGGTGAGGGGAAAGCACCACAGAAGAGAGGCTGTCGAGGAGGCAGATCTAAGTTTCCAGTGAAAAGAGAATTGTTAACAGAGACAGAACCAGGGTTCTCAGGGTTGGAGTGGACCATCTGAGAAAAACACTTGAGTATTAACAAGGTCTCACAAAAAGCAAGTAAGATGCAGCTGACAATCAGAGCTGCTGGGCACGATAAAGACAGTGTCTTCTCAAACCTGGGGGATGCGGGGAGGAAGACATACAAGACAGGCCCAGGGCACAGGCCTGGGGTTCGGTTTGGAAGGCTGGGAATTCCAGGGCAAAGGGCCCTGAGAAGGGAGAAAGTGGTTCTGGGGTGGAGAGGGAAAGGTCCGCAGGGGAACCTGCCCCAAATCAATGCCTGGATGACATCTCTGAGCTTCAGACAAGTGGAGCGCTGGCTTCTACTTCAGAGAGGGCACTGGGAAGAGAAAAAGCCCACAAAATCTTTCCGTCTTCTCTTTTCTTCTTTCTTTTCTTTCTTTCTTTCTCTCTCTCTCTCTCTCTCTCTCTCTCTCTCTCTCTTTCTTTCTTTCTTTCCTTCCTTCCTTCCTTCTTTATTTTTCTTTCTTTCTTTCTTTCTTTCTTTCTTTCTCTCTCTCTTTTCTTTCCTTTTTGCCTTCTCTCCCTCTTTCTTTTTCCCCTTCTCTTTCTTTCCTTCTCTCTCCCTTTCTCTTCCTGTCTCTCTTTCTTTCTGCTCCCAGCTGGCTGTGCTCCTATGGCCAAGACTTCAGCTTTCCCAACCTGGGGAGCTGTGGTTGGGACCACCTCACAGCCATCCAGCAGGGATGGCCTCATGCTCTGACAGCCTCCAGCCTCCTGCCCCAGCTTGGCCTGTACCCGTGCCAGCAGGGAAGCCCATGCCCACCAAGCCTCACCCCACCTCACCTGTTCTCTGCCCTGTGCCCTCCAGGTCTCCATCTGCAGCTGCCGCCTGTCTTGGGCTGCTGCCCGAGTGCTGGCCAGGTGCTCTGTCTCCAGCCTCAGGAGTGCCTCCTTCTGCAGGGCCTGTGCTGCCTGGGCGCTGTCCAGTGCCCTCTCTGCCTGACGCTGGCCTGGGAGGAGGGCAGAGCAGGGAACCCAAGTGGTGCCAAGGCTCCACAGTCCCTGGGTCCTGGTGGGCAGGGACCCTGGCTCCATCTGCCCCCTCCATCTTCCTTCTCCCAAGTCCTGATGCCAAACCTTTTAGTGAGAGACAGCAGACAGGGGCTCTCTGGGGAGGTGACAAAGATGGGGTCCCAAAAGTGGGCAAGTGGCTGACTCTTTGGGAGGATGGTATCAGGTAGCAGGCACAGTTAGGCAAAGTCTGGCACTGGACAGGGATTCTGTGCCCAGCAGTGCTGGGAGTGGGGGTGCTGAGCAGCCCAGGTACTGGTCAAGGTGTTATCTCCACCCACCCCACACTTGTGGGAGACAGAGGTAGGATGAGAGGTCACCTTCCTTGGCCTCAGCCAGTGCCCTCTGCAGCTGCTGTACATGGTCCTGGGCCTGGGTACGCTCATCCTCTGCCACACACAGCCTGGCACTCAGACTGGTCACCTGGACACAGCAGTTGTCCTGGCAGAGGAACTTGGGTCAGTGGGTGGCAGGAGGTGAGGCAGCCCTGAGGCTCCAAGGAGCCAGCCATGGAGGTGGCTGTGCCAACCTCCAGGCCTAGGCAGGGCACAGAGGGGTGGAGAGGGCCAGAGAGTTCAGCTTGGGGACAGCAGGGGCACCGCCTGCAAGTCGGGGCAGGGAGGAGGCCCCAACCAACACATCGTGCAAATGGCTGGAGAGGGCAGAGGAGCAGAGCCCAGGACAACCTGCCCCAGAGCCCATCATTGCTGCACCATAGGAGTGGATGCTCTCGTGGCTCTGGAAGATCCTAGGGACAGGAGCCCGTGGGACTGTGTCCCAAGTGACCTGGCCAGTGTCCCGGCCTCTGAGAAGAACCAGTGTTCTTTGGGAATGGTGTGGAATGCAGAGGCTCCCTGGCACAGCTTCTGTCCAGCCAGGGTGGCTGACTGCTGTGCAAGACCATTGGTGGAGGGATGGTGGCGATGTTGGCATTTATCACCATGGACAGAGGGCAGCCCTAATACTGTCCCACAGGGCCCACCAGGGTCCCAACAGGCTTGGAGAAAGACAGATGGAGGGACACTGGTCTAAGAGACGGGCTGCTCTCTGCAACCTGCCCCATGCCCAGGGCAGAGCCTGCACAAGTTGGGAAGATCCTGGCTGAACTCACTCGGTCCCGCTGGGCATCCTGAAACTTCTGCAGGAAGTCCCCCAGGGCGTCCTGCAAAGAGGCCACATCCATAACTTCTGGGTCATGGTCTCCAGGCGCAGGTGATGGCCACCGTGGTGGTGAATGGGGCCTAGCAATGGGGCTGGCATCCTGCTGCTGCTGGACACTGTAGAAACCTGCAGGAAGTGACGGTGGGGGGTGTGTGGCAGACGCTGTAGCAGACAGGAGGGCACCCTCCCTCTTCTCCACACCGGCCCCTGGCCAGGGACAAGCTGACCTCTCTCTGGGAAGCCAGATTGCTGTGGGGAGACTGCTGGGCTCTGACTCCGGAGCCCCAGGCCACGGCGCAGCACAGAGCACAGCCGGCCCAGCTGGGTCTTCACATGCCGCTCAGCAGCCTCGGCCTTGGCCAGCTCCCGCTCCAGGCTGTGCACCCGGCTGCGGGTGTTATCCAGGCTGCCCTGCAGGCTGTCTGCCCGGCTGCTGGCCTGCTGCAGCCTCCTGGTGACACCACGGAGCTCAGCACGCAAGGCGTGCTCGGCCTCCTGGTGCTCAGCCAGCAGCCCCTTCAGCTGCCCTGCCTGGGCTTCACCTGTGGCCTTGGCCTCCGCCAGCTTCTGCTGCAGCCTCAGGACCTGTGAGAAGAACACAGGCTCTGGATACCTGGTGGGTGGCGGGGTACATCAGGAGCCCTGGGCTCCTCTGCTCTCCCTCTCATCCCTACCCTATGGGTTACAAATGGAAGGGACCCCACATCTGCCTCCCAGCCTAGGTCTGCAGGAATAGCCAGTCCTCAAGAGCTAGGACAGCGCTGAGGGCTGCAGAGGGCCTGGGGGGCATGGGACATGTGAGTTAGGGCCAAGCGTGTGCTGGAGCAGGGTCAGTGAGGGTTCCTCCCCCACTTGGTATAGAAAAGGCCTTGCCCTTTTCTATAGCAGGGCCTGCATGCGCATGGTCACTGTGGCATGTGGATGTGGACAGACCCACAGCTACCCATGGGGTCCGAAGTGAGTGCTCTGGGCTCCCTGCACAGCATCACTCAGCTGTCTCCTGGTGGGCCACGCTGCCCTCGGGGAGGTGCCCCATCACCTTCTTCTGGGGGAGTGGCCAGTGCCCCTACCTCCTTCTGGGCACCCTTGTGGGCAGCCTCCTTCTCTGCCACCTGCTTCTGCAGCTGCAGCACCTCCCTCTGGCTCTGTTGCCGTTGCTGGGCATCCTGTGCACACTGGGCCTGCAGGGCGCTCACCTCTCTGCTCTGCCTCTGGTTCTCAACTTCCAGGGTCCTCACCTGGCATGCAGGGGCACAGTGGCAGGAGCTGCCCACCTTGGGCTCCTCCTTGCTCGGCTGTCCACATTTGTGACCTGCACTGAGTTGGGATTAATCCCAGACACTCTGTCCACACCAGGCACCTACTCTCTGGGGCAGGGATGCTCTGCAGAGCGGGGACAGGAGGGCTGGGTGGATGGGACCCGGGCCTGAGGTACTGTGTCACCCAAGCTTACCAGCTTGGCCACACGAAGGGCGGGAGAGTAGATGCCTGTCTCCATTGTCCTCACCTGTATGCGGCACTCCTGCAGCTCCCGATGGGCTTCCCCCTGTGCCTGTGCCCACTCCTGTAGCCTGGCCCGGAGCTCACTGGCCTCCTCCTGGGCTGCCGCCCGGACCTCATTCAGTGCTTGCAGCTTCCGCTCCTGTTCATCCTTGGCCCGCTTTAAACTGAGCAGGTGCCACAGGCCTGTGAAGACCCTTGCAGCTGCCCAGCAGCCCAGCATCCCCAGTGGGACCTGTCCAGGGCTGCCTCTGTGGTGCTCCCTGTCCCCTCTGGAACACTTGTGTCCTGTCCAGGCCACTGCTCACCTCTTCAGTCCTTAGTCCACCTGCCTCACCTTTCCTGCCTTCAACCCACCCAGAGACCCTGTGTCCAGCATCAGTCTGCTGTGTGGCCTGCAGGGCCTTCCTGGAGCCCTGGCCAGGCCGCAGATCCCCAGACTGTCCCAGCCTCCCATCTGGCCCCTGCATGAGGGCTCTTTGAGGGCAAGAATGGTCTGCTGAGTCCTCAGCCTCCTGGCAGACTGGCACATGTGGGCACCTCTCCCCACTGTCTGTTCAGTGCAACTCCCAAAGTTTCCTCAACCGGTGCCTCACTCACCAGACCCAGACCCTCTGTGGCTCCCTCTGCTGCTGTACCTGGCCTTGTTCTGCTCGACCCTGTAGAGGGCGGCCCGCAGCTCTGTGTTGGAGTATTTCAGTGCGTCCTTTTCACGGGCCTCAGCGCCCAGCGCCTGGCGGGCTTCCAGGGCCTCCCTGCGCAGCCCCTCACAGCTCTCCTCACTGCCCTGCAGCTCCCGGTGCAGCCTGGCCAGTGCTTCCTGGGCCTCACTCAGCTGGGCCTGCAGCCTCTTGGCCTGGGGGAAGGGAGCACTAGCGAGGAGGGGGCACCACGGCAGCCTGGGCAGGGATATGGGCAACCCTGGGCAGCACATGGCTGGGACTCTGGTATAGAGAGCACCCATGTTCCACCCAGACACAAGTCCCACACTGGAGGTCAGGGCTGGCTCCCAGCCTCTTCTGCCCCAGAGTGCCAGCTCTCCCTGCTGCTGCTGAGGCCGTGAAGTGGCTCGGGAAGCTGGCATAGATGGCTGGACCCAGAGCCCAGTAGATGCCCCTGTGCCCCTCCTGTCCTGGCCCTGCCTGTGTCCCCCTTGGGCTCTGGAACACTGCCAGTTGTCAGCAGAGCCTGTGGGACACAGTTGTGCCTACACATTGGCACTCTGCCAACTGCCACCCGCCACCCCTGGTGCCCGCATCTAATCTGTCTCTGCAGGCTCAGCACGGGCCCTGCATACTATGGACCAACTGCCCCTGGGCTCCTTCCTCTGGTCCTCATCTATTTGTTTACTTATGTTTTTGTTTTTGAGAAAGGGTCTTGCTATGTAGTTCAGGCTATCTTGAACTCACGGTGTAGCCCAGGCAGTCATTAAACTCCATTAAACTCCTGCTTCAGCCTCTCTAGTGCTGGGATTTTGGCAAGCAGCAGCCGCCTGACATTGATGCTATGCCCTGCAGGCTCCTTCAGCTCCCAGGGACAAAGCTGGCCTCCCCAGACCCTCCACATGGGCCCCAGGCGCCTGCTGTCTGGATTAGGTGTGCATCACCACACCCAGCTCCCGATGCTCTCTGTGGGATGAGCCGTGGAATCCTCTACTCACTGGGGCCACCCAGCTGCAGGATACTGTCCCTGTCCCAGGAGCCCTCCACTCAAGGCCACTGCAGACCAGGGCGGGAGGCCACAGTGGACAGGTGAACCCAGGAGCCTGTACAGCCAACCGATCTGCCCCTCCTGGCCCTGGGCTGGGCTGCACCTCAGAGAGTGGCCCCAAGGAGTGCAGGAGGCCACAGTGAGTGCTCCCCCCCTGACAGGCCCAGGGGTCTCTGCTCTTGGTCTCTGTTCTGGAACAGCAAGGATCTCAGGCCCTAGGCTCCACAAGACCCACGTGGAGGGTCTGGGGGGGCCGACCCTGTCCTGGCTCCTGGCTCTCATGTCCCCCAGGAGGTGGAGGAGCCTGCAGGGCACGGATCAACATCAAGCTGCTGCCTGCCAAAAGCAGACCCCTCTTTGCTGGCTGTTTGTGTGGGACGCTGTCCAGGCCCCTGGCCAGCCTGGCTCCGAGTCGGCTGCTGTTATTGTTGTTCTGTTTTTGGGAAGGGCCCAGGCCTTCCCTGCTCCCCCTGCCCCCCACATGTGGGAGCCACAACCGTGCCGGAGCATTTTCCGCGAGCTCAGCAGAAATCCACCCAGAAGGTCAAGGACCAGCACAAGGGCCGATCCATCATGAAAGCAGCTCTTTCCATTTCCCAGGGCAGAGCAGATGAAAACAAGCAAAACAGTCAGGGAGGGCCCCCCCCAGCTCTGGACGGCGCCCCACCCCAGCCTCAGGAGAACACACTTCCCTTTACAGGAATTTTACAGCCAGATCGCCTAATGTGATTATAATAATTATTTCTTTACTAGAAATTGTATAAACAGCCTCTTTTGAAATCTCCCGCAGGGAGGCAGCTCCAGGGCTCCATGGGGGATGGGGAGAGGGAGGACAGCAAAGGAAACAGGGAGGGCTGCTGGAGCCAGCCCGTGTGCACATGTGTGCCTGCGTGCACATGTGTGTGCATGGACATGTGAAAGGCTGTTGTTGGGGTCACATATGCAAGTATGAGTGTGTGCATATATGTGTGATTCATGCCCTCACACTCACACAGCAAGCACACTTTTGTGTGTGTGTGCCTGTCTGTGTTTTTTCTGTGCATGCATGTCTCACAGTACCCATCTGTGGCTACATGTGTGAATTCATGGTGCGTGCATGGAAGGCATCCAGCTGCACCATGGCTGTTTGTGTGCGTGTGTGCACACGTGTGTGGTTTCCACCTGGGTACCATGAATATACACATGTGTAAACGATGTCCATGATGGGTTTGTGTGTGTACCTCAGGTGTGGCTGCAAGAGCCTATAAGTTCCTTCAGTTTAAAGATTATTACAAAAAAAAAAGTTGTGGTTTCCATGGCAACATGGGGCCAGCTTGGCGCCTGCCCGAGTGGGCTCTTCTGCCTGCTTCTCCCTGCACTTTACTCCTGCGTTCCTCTCCTCTTCAGCCTCATGTCACTCCACCCCCTTCTGGGGCCCCACATCCAGTCGGGGCTGCCTATGCCTCTGCCCCTCCTGCTGCCCCCAGTTTTGAAATCTCACCTTCTCCCCCATGTGGCCATGGCCACTGCCTTTGAAATCTGCTGGAGGGAGCCCTTTCTCTCCAGGGCCAAGGTAAACAACCTTCACGTTACATCACACTTGCTTCTCTCCTCGCTCTGCAAGCTTCAAGCTGTGCTTGGGGGTCTGCACCCCCACGCAGCCTGGGCTTCCAGCCTTGGCACACAGCCCACCTTGCCTTGCAGGGTCCGGTGACCCCCTCTGCAGCCAAATCCTCATGCCCTTCTGCCCTGCCCTCCCACATGCTTGAGCCCCTCAGAAACGCTTCCAGGGTCCCGCCAGCCTGCCCACAACTCTGGACCTCCGGGGTAGCCCAAGGCTCTGCCAGGCCCTCGACTGCCTGGAACTCCTACTCCTCTCCTCCACCTCTCCTCCAGCTGCTCTGACCAGGCCCCACCCAACCTTACCCTACCCACACCCTGTGACACTTGGTGACACCAGGTCTCCCCACCCCAGGGCGCAGCCCCTCTCACAGGCCTGAGGAGCAGCCAAAGCCCCTGTGCCAGGGCAAGTGGCTCCCAGTCCCTTAACTGCGTGGGGAGAGGTTGGTTGATGAGCTAGATTCCAAGAAGCTAGTCCCAACTTCCCGCTACAAGCCTGAGCACCTGCACCCACCCAAGCAGGCCACAGCACTGCCCCATCTCAGCCATGAGCCACCCAGCTCACTTCCTCCTGAGTTCACCCTCCAGGCCTGGAGGCAAGACCTCTGTCCCTCTCACTGCCCAGATCTTCATCCCTCCCACTGCCCAGACCTCTGTCCCTCCCATTGCCAGTGGCTAGCGCCAGGCACCAGTGTGCCAGCTTCAGGCTGTGCGGGGTAGCATCCAGTAGGGATGTGGGCCCATTCTGCCTCCTCCTCAGCCCTACCCCTCCACTCTGGCCCCAGCCCACCCCTACCTCTCTCTGTAGGTCGCCCCGCTGAGCTGCTGTCCTCCAGAGGGTCTCTCTCAGGGCACTAACCTCTTGCTGATGGGCAGAGATGGTACCCTTGAACTGGGCCTGCAGTGTCCTCAGCTCCTCGGTCAGGGTGCTGATGGTGGCCTAGGATGGCAGTGACCGGTTAGCCTACTGTCACAGGTCAGAGGCAGGTGGGGACTCCCAGCAAAGGGGTTGGGGCTCCTGTCCCCCACTCAGGGCTTCCCCTGTGGGTCCCCAATGCAGGCTCGGGGAAAGGGAGCAGGGGGACCCATAGCCAGTCCTCTCCTGTCTAAGCCCTGGCCAGCAGCTCAGCTGAGTGGGGGAGGGACAGGTGGCCCTTTGGCATGTGAATGGCCCTGCCCTCGATGACCTTGGGACTTTGATGGGTACCCCCAGGTCCTGCAGCATCCCTGTGATTGGTGTGGGAGTGGGGTGCACCCCTTCAGGACAGAGTAGTTTTCTTCACCAGACAAGGGCCTGGCCTACCAGTATGGGGCAAGGTGAGCCAGGGCCTCAGGCAGATAGGGCCACCGGGCAGTCCATGTGGCATAGGTGGATGAGGTCAGAGTCCCCTGAGGCTGCAACTGCTCCAGCATCCTGGCTGTGCCCTCCCAGCGCTGGGTGTGGCCTGTGCTGGGGACTTGGTGGGGCCCATGGCTGCTCCTGCTGCTACCTATGCCCTGCTCTCTTCACCCAGAGACACCGGCCTCAGGCCCCTGGGAGCTGGGCTCATATGCCTGACAGGTCCCACTCAGCCCACAGCAGAGCTCAAAGCCCCTGTATCCTTGAACACTATCGAGCTGAGGCTTAGCCTCCCACAAAGACTCTTCACCTGACCCCAGTCCTGGACCTGGCTCTTGCCCTCAATGGCCACAGTGCCCATGGGTCTGGGTAGAGTGGGGATGGCTGGTGGGGCTCAGGTCCCCTCTAGAGCTGTGCCATGGCCACTGACAGGGGCTCTGCTTGAGGCTTCCCCTGTCCCGCCCCTACTGGTGACTGACAAGTGTCACTGCAGATGGCAAGTCATGGCTCTGTTCCCATGGCCCTGGCAGGGGACAGCCCTCGGCAGTGACACAGGCTAAGAGGCCCCTGTGGTGCTGGTGGCTGGCTTCCTTGTCATCCCTGGTGTTCCTTGGCCTGTTTCCCCTCTTCTCCTCTCAGCGGGTTCTAATTTCCACTTTTTGAGCTGAGGTGGCAGAAGAACCCTAACAAGCCTCCTGGGGAGCCCTGCAGGTAGGCAGGCCTGTCCCAGTCTAGGGAGCCCAGGAAGCCAAGGTGGCTCCATGGAGGCATCCCTCTCAGGGTTCTGGGAGGCCTTTTTGGTTCCCTGCCTGTGTGGGACAGGGACAGAGCCCAGTCGCGGCCAGGGTCTACAACCCCAGGGAGAGAGACCATCCAGGTGCCAGGCAAGGCTGAGCAGGGCTGGGGCTGGGAGCTAGCAGGACCTGGAGGCATGGGCAGGGGCCTGGCCAACGGAGGGAGTCATTGGAGGGGCTAGACACCACTGCACCCCTGCACCTTTTCATATGCAGCAACTTTCTCACTGTCCAGCACCTTGGCCACTCACAATGGGCCTCTTCCCATGTTGGAGTGACTGAGTGACTTTTTCCAAGGGCAGCAGAGCAGCTTCCTGGCTGGCTAAGGGTTTGTCTTGGGGTCAGTGATACCTCCTTGGACAGGAACCCCCGATAGCAAGTCCCAGGGCCTGGGGGTCCCTGGCTATGCTCTCTGCAAGTGCAGGGACAGGCGAGGCTTGGACCCATGGCTAAGTGAGCAGGGCCTGTGGTTCTGAGGCCCATGTTTCCTCCTCTCTGGTCCCAGCAGCTCCCAGAGCAGGGCCTGGAACATGGCCTTCACCTGCTTTGGCCCCTCCTGCCCTCAGGACAGCACCTCCTCCCAGGACCTGGAGACCTGGTGGGAAACTGAGGCTCCTGAAGGCAGCGGTGGGGGGTACACCTGGCAGGACAGGGCTTACCTCAGCATGAGTCTGCTGGCACTGGGCCCCCTGTTGCACCCGCTCCAGCTCCTGTTTGACCCTGGAGAGCTCCTCGTACAGCTGGCTCCTCTCTGTGTCCTTCACACACAGGGCCTGTACACCACAGGGCTTGTGAGGATGTTGGGCAGCTGGACCCCGAGTGCTTCCCCCACCCAGTGTCCTGTGCCCTGGACACTGCTCTGCAGTCACTTCACAGCTTCTCTGGGCCACACCACCCAGAGTCCTGCCCTTTGCCTTGCCAGACCTGGGTTCAGGAACCCCTCCAGGGTTCAGCCCCTCCAGGTGAAGCGCCTCACAGTGCACAGGAAGGGAATACTAGTGGCCTTTGGCCTTCAAAACACCCATCTCCCTGCACAAGAAGAAGGGGAAAACAGTGGGCCAGAGAGAGGGAGTCCCTCCAGCTCCCAGGCACAGCATGGCCCTTGCAAGAGTGTTGGAAGTAGACACATTCGGCAGTGCCCACTGCAGCCACCTCTGCAGGACAAGTGGCTCAAGCTCATTCTCGCTGCCTACGATGGTGCTTGTAACAGCCATGCACATGGCCCAGGTGCATGGTGAGGGAGGCCCACAAATGCAGATCCATGTAGCTATCAGGGTGGGAGCAGGCGAGGAAGGTTCTCAACGCTCAGACACAAAGCCCTCCGGGACGCAGTGGTCGCAAATGCTATGTTTGTTAGTGTTGTGTGCACAGGAGAAACTGTACTCCAGTTCTGCATCCCATCATCTCCCAGCCTGTATGGTCCGACCCGCTCTTGTTACTAGGTAGAGACTGCATCATCTCTAGGGAATGGCGAGTGCAAAAGTATGCCACGCTGCTCTGTGGGTTTCCCTGGGTCAGGTGTATGAGACGCATCTTCCACCTACAGCTTACAATGGCTGTATCAGGTGTAAGCCTTCCCTAAACTGAGGATGGCCAGTGTATTTCTACTGCAAGCCACATTCCCAGGTCACTGTGTGACAGGTTTGTCGGGCCTTTGCTCTGGTGGGGGTTCTCGACTCTGGAGCTTCCCAAGGGAGGACAACCTGTCACTGGTGGTGGGCCCTCACTGGTGGGCTTGATAACAAAAATTGGTTAACATTCTCTGCAAAGCTCCATCAAAGACAGAGTTGTGGGTTCACCCAGTCGAGGGCTTCACTCAGTCACCATTTGGGCTCCGCAGCTGTGTGGCATCCAGGTGACAGTCTCTAGCTGTGACTCTGACCCCAGCTCCACAGATTGCTTGTCCTTGCTATGTCTCCTGAGAACAGAGTGAGAGTGAAGTCACAGTTCCCCGGGGATGCTATGGATTCTGCTTGCTGGTCCTTTCTCTTCTCCGCTGTTTTTCACACTGACATGGGAGAGCAGGAAGAGCAGGCCAGGTCCTGGGAACATCCACTTGTTGCACTGTGACAGCTGCCCCAAGGCCTGGCCTTCTGTATCACCAGGCTACGATGCCAGGTTATACCAGGTTACACTGCAGCCCCAGGGAGGGTACTAGAGTGCAGCTTCTGTTTACCATGCAGCCTGCTCCCCTCTCTGAGCCCCCTTCTTCTCACTGTATATAGCTCTGGAAGCTGGGAGTGGAATAGCTCTGGAAGCTGATAGTTCATGTGGTCTTGGACAGGCATGACAGGTGTACAGGCCCTGGCCAGCGTGCAATTCCCCAGACATGCTGCTTTCCAGGGGTCCTTTCTTGTGCATCCTTGGGTGAGGTCCACTATGCCCCAGGGCTCTCTGGATCAGATGTCTTCTGCTTGGCAGGTGCTGGCTTAGACTCTGGCCTTTCCCTGTCCTCTTGGCCCCAGCCTTTTGTCACCTTTGCAGCAGGAAACCATGGCTCTACTGCCTGGGCCTGATGTGTGAGGTGCTGCAGAGACAGTCTGCTGTCCTCAGACGCTCCTCAAAGGCCTCTTTCCTCTATCTCAGGTCATGGAGCACTGAGGGGTGCAGATCTGAGCTTTGGTCCCTAGCAGATGTCCTTGGGGCAACCCAGGCAAAGGTGACACGTGTGGACCTTGGTTTTCTCGCCAGTGAACTGGGGCTTCTACAAGCATGTGCCTCAGTGTGTCATGAGGACCAAAGTAGAAACATTTGGACAGTAAACTTCAGCTACTGTGGCCACCATAATTTCTCCCCACAATTTTGTAATTTGCACTGATATAATTTCAACATGAGCGCTTTAGGATGACATGGCATGCTGAAGGGACCTGGACCTGAGGGTGGCCTTCCAGGCTGTGTATGGGTCTCAGCCTGCAGGATGGAAGGATGGTCAGGAGGGGGCTGACTGTATGCCTTAACTGGAAATAAGGGGATACACTGATGAATGACTGTATAGCTGACTAAACAGGTGGATGTGTGGAGGGTCAAACAGACGCACGGATGGATAATTGGACATATGGATGACTGGATGAGTAAATAGGCACATGGGTAAATGTGTGTGTGTATGTGTGTGTGTGTGTATGGGTGGATGGATGGATGTGAGGATGGATGGATGTATAGATAAGCAGATGAGTGAGTAGGTGGGTGGGCCTGTGGCTAAACTGATACATGGATGGGTAGATAGGTGGATGTATAGATGGATAGTGGGTGGGTGTAGATTGATGGATAGTTGGACAGATGTATAGATGGTTGGATGTGTGCATGGATAGGTAGGTGGATGGGTGGATGGATAAGTAAGTGAGTGGCTAAGTAGGTATGTAGATGGATAGTTAAATGGTAAGTGGATAGATGGTTGGACAGGTAGACAGATGTGTAGATAGATGGATAGTTGGGTAGAAGTATGGAAAGTTGGCTATGTGGATGGTCAGATGGATATGTGGATGAATGAATGGGTATTAGGTAGATGTGTAAATGAGTGGATAGTTGAGTAGATATATGTATGGATATGTGGGTGAATGGATAGGTAAGTGGGTGGGTGTATAGATAGATGTATGTATGGATGGATGGGTGAATGGATAGATGGACAGGTGGGTGGATGTGTGAATTATCAATTTGACAGATGGATGAATAAGTAGGTGAGTGGATGTGTAAATGGGTGTATAGTTAGAGGTATGTATGTATGTATGGATGGATGAATAGATAGGTAAATAAGTGGATGGATGTGTGGATACATGTATGTGTGTATATGTATGTATGTATGGATGAATGATTGGTTGGATGCAGGGGTAGTGGGTGGATGTGTAGATGGATTGGTAGTTGGATAGACATATGTATGTGTGGATGGATGGATAGGTGGGTGGATGTATAGATGGATGGTGTATGGACGAGTAGGTGGATGGATCCTTAACTACCAGAACCACCATGGAAGACCAAAGGTACACCAGTAGTAGCCTGGAAAGGCTGCATCTGCCTGGGGAGAGGGTGTGTGGCCACATATAGTCCTTGTGCAGTGTCCCAGAGGACAGTGAGGTGGGCGTGAGGGTCCCTTCCTTCCCGTGCTGCCGTCACCTGCTGCATCTTGTGCTCCAGCCGGAGGAGGCTGTCATCCCGCTCCTGCTTCAGGTTCTGAATTTCCTCCTCCAGAGCTTCCCTGTCAGCTGAGCATTTCGCCAATAGCTCCTTCCCCTGCTTCCGCTGCTGTGCAGCCGCCTCCTTCTCCTCTGCCAGGCTCAGACTCAGGGCCTCCTGATCTTGACAAAGGACAAGCTGTGAGACCCAGAGCACAGGAGACAGCAAGCACCTGTGGCCCAAGTGAAAGGGGACCCACGGGACACCAGGACTGGATGGTCAGGCTGACTGCCTCCCTGTCTTCTCCACAGGGGCCCCAAGCAGAGGCTAGGAAGGTCCTCTCCATATCCTGGCATTTGCCATCCTACCTTTATCTGCCAGGTCTTCAACCACTCCTAAGCCTGGGACTAGTGGGACAGCACAGATGGGTGACTGGCCCTCATCCCCCACCCCAGCCCTCACCCTGTCACCAGGGTAGTGACTCCAGGCCCAACTCCAGGAAGGACAGCCCCCCCTGCCCTGCTCCAACCTGCAAGGGCTCCAGGGAGGCTCCATGCCATCCACCTGAACTCCAAGGTATGAGGAACCCCTGGCTCCACCCCCAGGCTCCAGAGCCCTCTCCCTGGGGGACACACCCTCCCAGAAGCAGCCAGAGGGCGGGGCAGGCCACCTTCTCCCTCTGGAGCTGAGCTAGGTCCTCCTGGTGGGTTATTGCCTGGCTCTCCAGAGCCAGCTGCATGTCCTGCTCCTGTTGAACCACCTGGCTCTGCAGCCGCCCCACATCCCATCGCAGCCTTGTCTCCTGTGCCTCCCAGTTGCTTTTCAGCTGTTCCATCTTCCCTGGGAAGTGATGGGAGAGTCAGGGATGGCCACGGGGCCACCTGCCAAGACATGCCATGGCCTTGGTGTGGCCCTGAGGAGAGGCGGCTGCTCCTTCTGCCTGTGGCTGCGCATGGCAGGGGCAGGGGTAGAGCACTGGTTCTGTGGCCACAGCTCAGTTCTGAGCCCTGGGCCAGCATGGTGCAGACCAGAGTGCACAAGCTTCAGGCCCATGTTGTACCCTCTGGAGCCAGGGGGAGAGGGGAGCATCTTGGGGGGTGGAGCCCAAGGTTAGACTCAGCAGTGGAAAAAGGGGTAGGGAGCTGCCGAAGGAGCACCTTGCAGGGCCTGGTGAGCCAGCTGGGCCCTCCGGGCCTCCTCCTCTTGCTGCTTCTGCTTGGCCTGCAGCTGTGCCACCAGTTGTTGGGCCTCAAAGAGGCCACTCTCCAGGGAGTCCCTCTGGACCCTGCAGAGAGTGACAGACCGGCATGTCACCCACACGTACCCACCAGGCCAGGCCTGGAGAGCAGTGAACCACAGGGCACCTCTTTCATGAAGAAGCTCCAAGAATGAGTTGGGCTCTGTGCAAAAAAATATGTTTTGGGTGAATAAGAAACTAAACGCAGAAACAAAACCAAACCAACAAGTCTCAGCTACACTGTACTGTAAAGAAGGATGAGAAAGCAGGAAGGGTGTTTCGTGATCTTCTTGAGCAAGACACAAAGCCATGAGACAAAAATAAAGAGGCCGACAGATCTGGACACACGTAGAGAGGGAGGAGAGTGTTCCTCCTGCAGAAAAGATTCCATAAACCAACTTCAAAGGCCAGGAATAGACGTGGAAGCACAAACACATAAACAGAGGGCTGACATCCGTCACACAGGGAGCCCTACCAATCAGTGACAGAAAGCCAGCTGACTATACAGGAAAGAGGAAAATGACCACTATTTACAAAGAAAACACAGCCGGCTGAAAACGCGGTTTGCCTGTCCTCACTAGTGCCTAGGGAGAGCAAGCCACAGCTGTTTCAAGTCACATGTCCAATCAGCAATCACTGGGAGCAGGGACCACCTCCGTGTGGGCTGGGTGCCGGAGCATTCCAGGTGCTGGTTCCTAGGAGCACACGTGTGCCAACACCTACCAAAACCCGGGCTGCTCATGGTGGCTGAGCAGGGTGTAGGTCTTGTTTTGCTCAGGAGCACCATGCAGCTCTTCTGTTCTCTGACCCTGGAAGATGTTCCTGAAACTTCTGCCACACCAAAACTCCACATGGGCCCAAGCGGAGTGCCAAACATTGTTTACACAGTGCCTACTCTGAGAGGTGAATGGTTCCAAGTTCCTGATCCTGGATTCAACAGTGACTGCCTCCATCACCCACAATGTACAATCAAGATTCTGTGCTGTGCTGGGGTGGGGGCTCCTGCCCTCAAATAAGCCCAAGCTACACGTGAGCACACAGGCTCTCAAATGGACAAGCCTAGCAGCTGGGGGGAAGGTTCTGGGGGCCCAGGGTCAGCCCAAGCAGCCCACCTCAGTCTTGTCTCTTGGCAGCCCTGCAACCTTGGCAGGGACAGCCCATCAGAACCTTACAGGGCTCCTGATATTTGCAGCAAGGGGTCCTCTGGGTCCAGGTCAAAACCCCTTGCTCACTGCTGCATGTTACCTATCCCCACACCATCTCTCCCTACCCCCTGCAAACTCCATGTGTGCCACATTCCCCTACCAGAACCCCTTCCAGGTGGTCAAGTGGAGGGGCCTGGAACCTGCTTGCTTCTAGATGTCACCTGTCCTGGGGTAGCCACCTCCCATTCAGCCAGGGAGTCCAAGAACATCTTCCCTGCTTCTGAGCCTTGAGGTGGAGGTCCAGCTGCTGCAGGCTACCCAGGAAGGGTGAGCCAGCCCAGCATCCATTGCACTGGCTAAAGAGGGAGCTAGCATTCCACAGAAGGAGAGCGTAGTACCCTGTGACACAGCCTCCTTGGGGCCTGGTTGCAGGGCTCCCCTTTCAAAAGCAAACTCATAGGAGGCAGTGATCAGAGACTGCAGCCAAAATGCTGGGACTCCTGCTCCCAGGACTGCTTCAGGGATGCCTGGTGGGTCAAGGTGCAGGATGCAAACCACTGGGGGCCTTCTTGGGGAAATGTTCTTGTGTCTGGGGTGATAGCAGACCATTTTGCCCCACTTCTGTGTGAGCCTATCTAGGAATGAGTGCAGGACAGATGGAAGGAGACGGAAGGGGAGACAGGATTCTGAATGCTGTGAATGCCTGGATCCAGCCTCATCTGAAGCCAGATTCATCCAAAATCTCAGGTCTATGAGTGAGACACATTTTCTTTCTCCTGATCTGACCTAGGTTTCTGCTACTTGCTCTGTGACCTCAAGAAAGTGATCTCAGATCTCTCTGGATATGCTTCCTCTAGATGTTCTGCCACCCTGAAGGCAACATTTCCCCTCAGTTATACTTGGTCCCTCACACACAGACAGGAGACACACTCGCCCTGCTCTGTATGACAGTGCCAGCCCCACCTGTCCACCATGCTGTGGGTTCTCCACAGTGGACAGGCCCATGGCACCTGAGATCAGCTGCCTCCTCTGCTGTGAGCTGGCTCTGCCTCTCCAGGGCCTCCTGCTTGGCCAGCAGCTGGGCTCGCTCCTCAGACAAAGCATCCTTCTCCTGCAGGGCTTGCTGCAGGGTGTCCCTCTGGACCTCCTGGTCCCATAGGCTCTGTGCCAGCTGCTCCTCCAAGGCCTGTTTCTTGCATGTGACCTAGAGGTGGAAGAAAGGGGACAGTGTGGCAGAGAAGAGAGTGAGTAGAGGAGGGAGGGGGTCTTCTGAGGGAGAGGAGGGGCCACATGCAGAGTGGCTTGGAGCAAAGGGAGAAAGCGGGTGCAGGCGTAGGTGCAGTGTTCTTACAAGAGAGGAGACGACTATTCTCACACAGTGGCAAAGATGCTACTGGACTGGGCACTTCCACTGCCATCCTCAGTAACAACCTTTGTTCAACCATGAACGCCCATAGGACAGGACATGTGGTATGGAAGTGGAAGTGGACTGGCTTTTCAGACCATTCCGCCTATCAAGGACATCACAAGGATCCAGACAAAATGTATCCCAAGAACACACAGGAGAGGCAGCCGGGACTGAAGTTGCCAAGGGCTTGGAGCGGAGGGAAGCAGCAGCAGGAAGCTCCCACTTGGCGTCGGCTTTCCTCAAACATTTGCTGAGTTAGGGCTCAGGCTGAGAGACCGAGATGCCAAAGAATGCATGGTCATCAAGTCTTCCCCAGTTTCAGGTTCTGTTCACAGAAAAGCTTAATTCTGGTAGGAATGGGGAGTCAGAAACAGATTGCAGTTCACGTGAGTCACTCAGCTCCCAATCACATGTGATGCTCACCCTCTTCCACACCTGTTTGGATCAGTGTAAATCTTCTCTGAAAGAACAGTATCACCACTGTCTTCAAGGTATTCCTAAAACTTCTCATACATCATGTTTGTCATTTAATATGACTGGGCACACCAAAAGACAAGACCACATGACAAAAACCAAACACTAAAAACCAAAGGTAAAAACAAAAAATAGAAATACTTTCTTATCCCCACAGGACATGAAGGTATTAGGGTTATTAGACACAGAATTTAAAATAGCTGATTAATATGTGAAAGATGATGGATGGTAGGATGTAGAATTTAGCAACAGAACTGAATACTAAGAATGAATAATACAACTTAAAATACATTCACTAAAATTAATACATTAATACATAGGCTTAATGATAGATTGTAATAGAAGAGAATACTAGTAACCTGGAAGATAGAACTGAAGGACGTTTAGAATTGAATCATGAAAAGAGGATGGAAAAATATAAAAAAGAGAATAATACACTTAAAAGACAAAGGAAAAGCTTCATTCTATGTGTAATTTGTCAGATTCCAATTCTGACAAAAACACTGCAAGAAAAAAAGTCTACAATAAATATACTTCTTGGGCAACCCATTCGGGACCCCTTCTGTCTCTCTTCAGACAAAAGCTTCCTTTCTCTCAATAAATATTCTACAAAAAAAATACTTCATGAATATAAATGCAAAGATCTCCAACAAAATACTATAAATTGACTCTAAAATAATAAAATAGTTATGATCAAGTAGGTTGTCTCAAGTGTGCAATGTTGATTTAATATTAACCAATATAATTTATCACACTAACAAAATAGGAAAAAGTGATAATAAGATCATCTTAATATAGGTAGAGAAAACATTTAGCAGAATTCAGTACCCATTATTGATATTTTAAAAGCCTGTGGAAACAAAAAGGAATGTCCTCCAACTGATAAAGGGCATCTATGAAAAGCACAGAAATGACATAATAGTTAATAGAAACATACTCAGTTATTTCCCCATGATTGGGTTTAGTGGAAGGATGCCTACTTATCACTTCTGTTCGACTTTGTTCTGCAGGTAATAGTGCAATAAGAAAAGAAACAGAAAAGGTGTTGAGAAAGGAAGCAAAATGGTTGTGACCCAAAGGAACATTATGTGTGTAATTAGTCAGATTCCAAATCTAGTAAAGATATTACAAGGAAGGGAAATGACAGGCCTAAATTCTTCATAGATAAACATGCAAAAATCCTATAAATTAAAATCCTTGTGTTTGTAAGCAAATTTATCAAGGTCACATGACTCAAAGTCAGTATCTGAAACTGCACTTCTGCATATTAGTGATAAACAACAGAAAAATGAAATAGAATAAGAAATACAATTTATAGTATCAAATCCAGAAATGAATCCAGTCAAAGAGATGTAGAACCTCTGTGCTGAAACTCTAAAGCAAAAGCCGGAGAAACATCACAGTGAAGATTCTCCATGTCCACAGGTATACTATATTCATGGATAGAAGCACCATAGAGTTAGGATCCGGGCTCTCCAAGCCGACCTATAAAGGAACACAACCATAATCAAGGTACTCATGTGCTTTTTCAGAGGGGAGGTGGTCTCTAAAATGTAGATGGGTCAGAAAGGGATTTGAAACAGAGAACACCTGAGAAAGAACAAGGTGGGAGGACACATACTATACACTTTCAAGACTTCCTGAAAGGTGTACGACAGTGTGGTTTTGGTGAAAGAATGAATAGATTGGCTTGCACAGATCAAGTCCCACATATAAAATCAAGTTATTTTCAACATGTAGTCAAGGTAAACCAAGGAGAGTCTCTTGTCAAAAAATGGTGCTGGACATCAGTGTGGAAATGGTGGATCTCTATTCCAGCTCATTCCACACACACGTGTAGGCTCAAATTTCAGTGTGCAGTGGGACCGCCTGGCAGTTGCACTGGGATGTGTGTTTCTGGTCTTCCTCAAAGAGTCTCTGATCACTAGGTCCTGCATGAGTCACCAGGTCTCAGGTGTTGTTCATGCAACTGGTCTAGAGAACAGATTTGGAGAACCACAGATACAATGTGGAATGGATCAAAGACCTCATCTGAAAGCCAGGTGAGAACACAGGAAGCAATGATTCCTCAGACAGGACCTAAAAATGCTAAACATGAAAATAGAGGAGGTTTGCTGAAATTTTATGCTCATCAAAAAATATTATGAAGAAAGGTTGGGTGTGGTGACACACACCTATAAGCCCAATCCTCAGGAGGCTGAGGCAGGAAGATTGCCATGAATTTAAGGCCAGCCTGGGCTACATAGTAAAGTCCTGTCTCAAAAAAACTAACAAAAAATGCTATGAAGGAAATGAAGGGCTCAGGATGTAGCCCAGTAGTGGAGTAATTGCTTGCCTAGCACAGGAGAAGCCGTGAGTTCAACTCCCATTATCTCAAAACAAAACAACAGAAAAAAGAAAATACAAAGGTAAGACACAAACTTGGGGAAAGCACTGGAAGGGCATCTAACTGGCAAAGTACTTGTGTCCGTGATATATAAAGAATTCCTATATACTCACAAAAGCCCAACTTTAAAAATGGGCAAAAGGCTTGCACAGACATGAATATTCATTAAGCACATGAAAATGTGCTCCATGCTACTGGTCATCAGGGAAATGCAAATCGTAAGTTGGTGACATATAACTTCACACACAAAGAATAACTAAAACTAAACATTGACTATTGAATGTCAACCGTGGAGCCACTGGAATGATCCTGTACAGCTGGCAGCTGGGTGAAATCATACCTTGACCCTGGAAAACTAGCTGGCAGCTTCCTGTAGAACTTAATATTCCTACACACCAACTTCACTCCCATGTTACCCTGAGAGAATGCAAATCTACACACACAAACTGTACACAAAGGTTCTTCATACCCTTATAGCTTGACTGCCCAGCAGCAGCTGGAAAAAGTAGCTGTGGCTTTCTCCAGCCCAGCGCATCACTGCCTCTGGCACTGACCAGTCCACACTGCTGTTTGAGCTGCTATGCAATGGCACAAAGTCTGCCAGCCCACCGGGTGGGGAGGATCTGGTCAAGACATCCCACTTGGGGAACAAGGGGACTACTGGGCTGGAGAGATGCAACCCACTTTGATCACAGCAGGGGCTCCACAAGTGCATAAGCTGTCAAAATTCACTTATTGCACAGTAGGCACATAACAAAAAAGAGAGAGGCCGAGCACAGTGGTATGTGCCTGGAATACCAGCACTCGGGGGGCTGAGGCCAAGGGCAGGTTCAGGGCCAGCCTGAGCAACTTAGCAAGACTGTCTCAAAGTGAAAAAATAAGAAGGGCTGGGGATGTAGCTCAGTAGTCTCTGAATTCAATCCTCAGTAAATCCTTGTAAACAACAAATAAAAAATGAAAAATGTGACCATAAAAAGGACAGGGCCTGAAAACGGAAAGAGAGTATGTTGTTCCTTATGTGATGGGGCAGCAGCATCAGATGCCACTGAGGGCCCAAGATCCAGCTGGGACAGGGCTTCCACACAGACAAACAGGCAGGATCAGGAAAGACCACACTGTGCCAAGCGGCTCCTCCTCCACAGAGGACTGGGATGCAGCCCAAGGACACACCAGTGGTGCCGGAGCCGTCAGTGGCAGATGTGGACCAGGGTGCAACAAGAAGGGGAGGACAGAGCAAGGGTGCTGGGCTCCTCCTCAGGACACCTGACCCTGGGCACAACTGGGGCTGCCGCCACCCTAAGCCCTTGTGGGGCACAGAAGTGGACAGGCCTCTAGCATTGTAGTGAGCTCAGCAGGACCTGGGTGTGTGACCTGTCCGCAGCAGCCTCACCTGGCCCACCTGCTTCTGGAGCTGGGCCCTCTCACGGCTGAGCTGGGCCACTTGCTTCTCCAGCTGCTCCTGCTGCTTCTCCAGGCGCCCACAGGCATCCTGCAGATCTCTCCGCTCAGCCCACACTTGCTCCAATTGCTGCTCCACCTGTGCCAGCTCCTGCCCAGCGCCCACCTGCTCCCGTTCCAGTGCTGTCCTCTGCTCCTGCAACTGGTCTCGCTCCCGCTCCAGCTGCTGGTGGCAAGGGTCTTTGTCCAGCCCACACACCCTAGCCCCTTGGCCCTAGAGCATTGCCCACCATGTGCTTTGGGCACTGCCCCTTTCCTCCACCAAACTGCTCTTAGGTTGGGTGGCATCAGGCTGGGAAGAGGCCCAGAGACTAGTGAGAGGAGGGCCCTGAGAAGGAGGTGTTCAGCTGCCCTGAGGAAACTGAAACACAGGTCAAGCCGCCCTGGCCCCGGCTCACCTGGAGCACCAGGTGGTTCAGGGAGCCTTTGTCCTGGGCCAGTTCTTCCATCAGGGCAGCCATGGTGGCCAGTGAGTCCCGCTGTTCCACTCCCTCTGACTTCAGCTGTGTCACTAGCAGCTCCAGGTCAGCATTACTGGACTCGGCCTATGGAGGGGGCAGGAATCACCCAGAGGGGATTCCGAGGAGGGATTTCGAGATACTGTGGCAGGACTGAGGTACAAGACTGAGGTGCTGCAGAGTGTCAAGGATACCAGCCAGAAGCTGGGAGGACCCTAGCTGGGCTCTGGCAGACAGCAGCTCCTGAGCACCAACGGCCCTGTGGGAGGAGGAATCACAGCGGGGACACCCCGGGAGCAGGCATGGCCAGCAGGGCCCAGAGTTGTGCAGGCAGAGGAGGCTGTGCCTGTGGGAGTTGGGGCAGGGGTGCTGAGCAAGGAGGTGAGAGCAGTGAAGCCTGGGCACGGAGGGGCACAGAGGGGCACAATACCCGGGCCAGGGTACCACGCAAGCCCTCCCGCTCGCTCTCCGCAGAGTCCCTTTGCAGCTGTGCCATGCTCAGTGCCTCCCGGGCCAACGCCAGTTCCTTCCTGAGTCTGGAGACCTTCTCCTCCAGCCGCTGCAGGTGCCCCTGGCTGAGGCCATGGTGGAGGGCAAAGCGGGGAGATATCAGGCAAACAAGGGTCACTCAAAAGACCCAGAGGCAGGGCAGCCACTGGCAGCCTGTCAATGCCCAGGGAACCCTAAAAGGAGTGGGGAGCACCCTGTGGAGAGACAGGAAGGGAAGATGCCCTACTCCGTGGGACTCTGGGCCCAGAGTGGTGATTTGATGACCCCTGTGTGGGTGGCAGAGCCAGGAGCCTGCTGCCTTTTGTGGGCAACCTGGGCCTCACCTCTGCTCTGCTTGCAGCACCATGCTCCTGCGCAGTGCTGCGTTGGCTGCTGCCAACCTCTGCCTCTCTGTGTCCTGGTTGCCTGCCGCCCCTCTCAATTCCTCCACCTCCCGATCCAGGGCCACCTTCTCCCTGGGGACATGCAAGCCAGGATAGCCCAGGGCATGTGACAGAGAGAAGAGGACACGCTCTTATCAGCCAAAAGAGGTTGGACCATGCAGCGGAAGCTGTCGGTGGGTACAGAATGAACAGGAGGCCACGTCTTCTGGAAAGGCTGGTCCTGCCCTGGCCTCTGCCCAGCTTGGCATCCTCCCCACAGACCCTGCCATCCTGGCACCTTCGCAAGAGTTCCACAGATATCTGGCAGTGCTGCGCCTCATGCCTCTGCACCTCCAACTGGCCCAGGAGGCCCTCACGCTCCTGTATCCCATCCTGCAGGAGCCTCTGTGAGGCCTGCAGCTCCTGCCTGCATGCTGACAGCTGCTCTCGGAGCCCAGCGGCCACTGCCAGAGAGGACTCCAGCTGCCGTTGCAGCTCCTGTCGGGGGGGAGGGGAGGACTGCCATTAGAGGAGGCTCCAGGGTTGCGCACTTGGCCTTGTGATCCCTGACTGTGGCCCCACCTGCTCTCGCTGCTGTCGCCTCTCCATAGCTGCCTGCACTGCCTGCAGTGTGGGGTCCAGGCTGGTTGGGGAGCAAGCCCGTGGTGGGGACAGGCTGTGGTGGGGGCTTCTCTGTTGGCCTTGCACTTCCTTGCCGTTGGTACTGACACTCCTTGGCTGCTCTGGACTCCTGGTGTCTGCCTGGGCCACCTTCAGGGTGCAAAGGAGAGGACAGAGGGGACAGAATTCAGGGTCATGATTAGATGGAGTCTCTAGGTGGCCTGGCCTGGACTTCAGGGCCGAGTGGGCCGAACCTTCCCAATGTTGGTCAGGACGCTTTGCAGGGAATCAACTTCAGCCTGCAGGGATGCAATCTCAGCCCGCAGGGTGTCCTCAACCAGTTGGTCCCCGCTGTGCCGCCCAGATTCCTGTAGGCAGAGAATCCCTCAGCCGGGCAGACAGACACCACCATGAGGTGCTCCTCTGCAGCCCCACATACCAGTCTCTGGACATCCAGCTTGAGGGATGCAATTTTCCTCTCCCTCTGCTCGCTCTGCACTGTGAGCTTCTCCACCAGTAGCGTCTGCTCAGAGAGCCTGCGGGAGAGGAACCCTGAGGATGCCCGGGCTCCATCCAGGCTCCTCGTAGAGTGACCCCCACCGTGACCCAGCTTGGTTGGGCAGCCCCATGTCCAGCAGTGGCTGGGCCCTGCCCCATCCATCCAGCACAATGGATGGGTGTGGTCTCCACCCTGGCAGATACCTTGCCTAGAACTACCCCGTGCCATCTGCTTGGCCGCCTTCCTCCTCCCTGGGGCCTTCCCTTAGCCCTGCTGCCCTGGCAGCTGCAGCTGGCTGTCTGGCTCCCCTCCACCTACATCCACTCCTCAGGAGCCCTCGAAGGCAGGAGGGCTGGTGCCAGCCACCCTGTGGGGTGTCTGCTTAAGCTCCAGTTCTGTGGCACTGAGCCTGAGGCACAGGGCTCTCTCCCATTCCTTTTCTTTTTTGAATACAGGGTTTAATGGTATAGCTCAGTTTTAGTGGTGTAGTTCAGGTTGATTTTGAACTCATGGCGATCTTCCTGCCTCAGTTTCCCAAGGGCTGGGTGTGTGCCAACATGCCCAGTGTGTGTCTTCTTTTCTGCTGTTCCAGAGATTTCTGAGCCCCAGATGTGGGTTGTGGGTCCAGAACCTTCCACATTTCCCATGAAGCTCACAAACCCCTAGATAGAATATGGGTCTCACTCCCCTGGAGCCCTCAGCCTCTGCTCCTGCCCAGAAAGATACTTCTGTGTTGGACCTGATGTGCCCACCCTTGGGTTCCACCCACAGGAAAACAGCCCACACAGCTCTCTGCAGGGCCCACTGTGATGCTTGACTCCAGGGTGCCAGCTCAGGTTCAGGCCACTGGAACAGAGAATGAGGTCAGCGTGTGGTATCACCAGTGTGCCCTGGGTCAGCACATGGGGGCATTGGGACCCCAGTGTAGGATGTGGCGAAAACCCCTGGAAGCCACACTGGCTGGCAGACAGGGCTGTGTGACCCCCTGGCCGGTGCCCACCTGGCCTGGAGTGCCACCTTCTCCGCATCCCAGCGGCCCTGCAGCTGCAGTGTCTCTCGGATCTGCTCCCCCAGCCGCTGTTCCAGGGCACTGGCTGTGTGGTCGGCTGCCAGCCGCAGATTGGAGTCAAGGTTCAGGCAGGCCACGTGCAGGTGCCGGGCCGTCCTGGCTGCGTTTGCTCGCATGTCTGCAAGACTCCTGGGAACAAAACCCACCTCACTGGACCCTGCCCTGAGCACCTGGCCACCCTCAGGAGAATCTCTCGTTCTGTGGCATCTGACTTCCCCCCATGCCAGAGTTCAGGGGCACAGTTGGAGGAGGTGAGAGGGGCTGGGGCCAGGCCAGACAGGAAAGCCTCAGGCATGACACTGCCCTCTGACTTGCACAGTCCTCATGTACAAGAGGGGTGGCCCAGGGGTACCAGGACAGACCCACATGCAATGCTAGCTGTGATGGGATGTGTCCCCAAAACTCCAAGCAGGCAGGTGCCTCTGCCCTCCTCCCTTTCTTCTCCCTCTGCCCTCTGCTCTCCACACTGGACCTCTTGCCAGTCGTCTGGAGGCCAGGATGCACATGTGCATGCTTGTATGCATGCGTCCATGTGTGTGTGTGCATGCGTGCATGTGTGTATGTATGTACACACATGTGTTTGGGGGCACTCACCTCTCAGTGGCTGCCCGCAGCTCTGCCTGCTGTGCCCGCAGCGCCACAGCCTGTCTCCACAGATGGAGCAAGTCCCGGGGCTCCCTGGGTCCTGGTGACCAGGTCTGGAAGGAGAGGTCCATGTCCACTGCAGGCTGAGCTGTGCCACAGGCATAGAGCTTTGCTGTCTGCCAGCTCCTGGAACCCTGATGTCCTAGATGCAGGATCCCTGACCCTGGATCCTTGCTGAGTCCCCAGGGTGAGCTCCCTGTGCCTGTCAGGGCAGATCAGGGGTTGGGGTGGGAGCCCCCACTGAACCTATAAGGCAGGGCTGTGGTCACGACCAGGGGCTGCTCAGGGCAAGGCCTTCCCAGACTAGTTGTTTCCTTGGCTCAGTCTGGCACCTTACCTGTGGGCCAAGGAGGCCTCCTTACACCAGGGGGCGCTAGAAGTCATCTAGCCACAGGCAGATATAGGGCCTGGGGTGTGGGGACAGCTCTGCCGCATGAAAGGGGCCGGTGATCGCTTCTCAGCCTCTTGGCTAAGATCAAGTGACCAGGTAGGTGGGTTAGGGCCACTGTAGGGAGCAAGGCGGAGGGCTCTGCCTTGCTAAGAACACAGCTGTGGCCCCACCCTGCACTCAGCTGCCTCCTGCCCCTCAGGGGTCACTGGGGCTGCAAGGGTCACCAGACCAGGGCTGGCCAAACCACCTGGTCTGGCCAGCTGGGTGCTCTACCCATGCAGGGCTCTGTGGCTTGGGACCCTCACAGCCTTTCCTCCCTGAGCCACTCAGAGCCCTACTGCCCCAGCTCATCCTGAGCAGGCCTGAGGGGTGACAGTGAAGGATCCAGGGCTGGGATAGGCAAGCAGGCAGCTTCCTGTCACTCAGAGTAACCTGCACCAAGGTGCTCTGAGGACAGAGTCCACTTCACATGTGAATGACGTCCTGAAGCTGCAGTAGAGTAGGGAGTGCAGTAGAGGCCAGGTGGCCAGAGAATGAGCTGGACTCCTCCAACACCCACGCCACACCCCAGGTTCACACATCCTACATGCTCCACACATGCACACGTACCTAGCACAGGCCACATGCCCCAGGCTTACCTACACATTTACACACATACCACACAGGCATGCATGTACATGTACCACATACACAGGTTCATACACATGCCACACTCCCATTCACACACAAATATACATTGTACACACGTGCCACACATTATGCTCATACCACTCTTGGAGACTCATGTGTGTATTCACACATCACCCTGATGTCTTCCAACACACAAATGCTCACACAATCTCACATATCATACCCATACCTTCTGATATACACATGCACACCCCATTCTTCTTCTGACATATACCACACTGCACGCATCCCACATGTACATATACTCACACACACGCATTCACACTCATACATGCTTGCATTCCCATGATACATATGTGAGCCAAAGCAGGAGAACCCTGCCTTTCTCAAATATTGGAGGTGAACAGAGGAAAGAAAATCTGCCCCATGGATCCAGAGCCACAAGCAAGATGTCAAACAGCTGCAGCCTGCATTCACACTGCCTTGGCGTCCTTGGACACACTCACGCTGAAACTCTACAGTCACCCAGAAGCCAACATCCTAGCTGGAAACATTCCATTCATTCCAGATTTCCAAGAATGTTCACAAAGTTCCCAGGAAAATGATAAGCTGCTCTTGGTTAAAAAACAAAAATCCCCAAAGATACGAGGAGCAAAGCACCAGGGTGAGGAGCCAGGAGAACGGCGAAGTCTGGTCTTGGGAAACTGCACTGTGATACTGCCAGAGCCCAGAGCCATTGCATTGAACAGGCCAAGCAGTGAGGTTCGAAACACGGGTCAGGGGAGTCTGGGGAAGACAGTCAACGCTTCCAAAGAGGAGGAGGGCGCCCCTTGGATCCTTCCCAAGCAGCACACAGACCAGACATCCAAGGAGGACTTGGAACAGGAAGGCAGGTGTGAGGACATCACCCTTGCAGCCCAGCAGGAGGGGTCACACCTTGCTGGGGGCAGGCAGGGAGGTGGGAGCAAGGTGGCAACTGAAGGAAGGAAAGTGACAAAAGGCGGGGCCCTGATGAGCCCCATGCCACACAGGAGATGCAGGGCAGTGAAGTCACTGAATATTGGTCCAAAACTGAGACCTGGGGCCCCTGCACGGGGTCGCAAGGAGGGCGCACAGGCCTCTTGCACAGCACAGCTGGGAAGTCGCAGGCCGCAGAAGGACCTGCACAGTGCTGCACTGACAGCAGCCAGCCAGGAGCATGGTCACCTCGGACGGTGAAAAGAAGACCTTTGCAGATCAGTGAGCGTGGACTGGAACGTGTGACACAGAGAAACTGCTCAGGTGGTTGCTCCAAAATGGGACCAGCTGCAGGACAAGGACAAAGCCACAACGCGTGACGCCGCCAGTGTCCCCTGCTCACACCCTGCCACTAGAGGGTTCAAGCCCTCTCGATGATGCACTTTGAGCAGGGCCCCCTCATGCCTCAGCTGTCTATCCGATGCCCTGGACCCCTCAGGCTGGGCAGCTACTGACCCCCACCTTGGGGAACCCCATGGGGTTCCTTCTGCCTGACAGGGTGCGGAAAGAAGGGGCAGCCTTCTGGGGAGGGAAGGGAGAGAAGGCCCAGCAAGGCTCGGCCCCTCTGATGGGGCAGCTGGCAACGTGTCAGTCCCACTGGGAACTCTTCCTCAGGCATGAGAGTCATTTCAGCCAGGGCCACGCACTGCTCAGAGAGCCCCGTGTCACGCCTGAGGCTGGCCAAGCTGTCTGAAGAAGGAAGCAGCCCCAGCCGGAGGCCCTGCTGAAGTCCAGCCTGCAGCTCCGGGGAGACCCTACCCAAGCCAGGACCACGCCTGACTCACACTCAGGGGCCTGGCCTCCCCCAGGGAGGGTGGATTACAGTGTCCCCAGTGCCACAGGCTGCTGTCACAGAGCCAGATGGAGGCTGCAGCCACACAGACAAGGCGGGCAGATGCTCTCCCCGCCCCCTGCTGCCCTCCGTGGCAGGCGGTCCTGAAGACAGTGAAAGTGGAAGAGGGCACCTTTGGTTTCACCCAGCGTCGAGCCTCCCTCAGCTCCAGCTGTCGCTGCAGGTGGACCACGCAGCCCGCCGCCCTGGCCAACTCCTGAGCCAGCTTGTCGTTGGCTTTCTGCATGTGTCCCAGCTGTCCTCGCAGGAGGGCATTCACCTGGGCGAGGCTGGTGCTCCTGGAGGGACAGACCCACGGGGGCACACGATGGATGCTGACCCAGCACCAACTCAAGAGCTCCACGGAGCCTGAGGCCCCTGCTCTGCCCAAGCAGTGCTGGCTTCCTGCACTGGGCCTCCTCAGATGGCAGGATGGGTGGGGGGTGGGGACAGTGGGCCCCAGCCCCATGACCTTCTTCCTGCCTCCTCCTGAGCCTGTGCAGCTCATCCCCTATCCTTAGGTGCCCCTCAGTCCAGAGGAGCATGAGCCCTGCAGGGCCCCAGGGATGTCAGGAGGGTGTCCCTCCAGCCAGTGGATCTGCACCCTGGCTAGTCTGACCACCCCACGCTAGACTGCATGGCTGCCAGCAGTTGGAAGCCCTGCTCTTCAGGTGTTGGCCCCCACTGGGCTATTTCCCCTCTCAAACTGGTTTTCAAAATGCTTCTCAGCACGTTGCATCCCTTCACAGACACCTGAAGGATAAACTGGCTGTGAGTACTCAACAGATGCTTTAACTCCTGGGTCTGGGGACATAGGGCCCTGGGAGTGCAGCCTCCCAGCCACCCTGCAGAGCCCTTCCCTTTCAGCCCCATTGAGGGGCGGGCTGGGGCAGCCAAATGGAGAGGTGAGAGTACATGTGGAGGAGCAAGGTCAGTGCTGGGGTGCTGGGCTGGTGCTGTGGTACTGGTTTTGTGGTGAGGTGCTGGGCCAGTGATGGGGTTTGGGGTCAGTGCTGAGGCCTTGGTCTTAAGTTGGGGCTCAAGGTTGTCACTGGAGTGCTGGGTGGGATGAATGCTTGCAAACCAAACTGTCCACCATGAAATCAGAGTAGCTCAGAGCCCAGAGGGTGGGGAGTCTGGACTGGCAGAAGGGCTGGCCTTAGCCAGTGTCAGGGGCTGGGTACCACCTAGAGAACTCTAAAGCAGGGACTGTACTGGAGAGGCTGCATAGGCAGGGAGGCCCAGGTGTGCCATTGTTACCCTACTTCCAGAGCAGGAGGCTGTGATGAAGGGATGTGGGGAACCCTGTAAGCCCAGTGTGACCACAGGCATCCTCAAGACAACATCTGCCACCCTCATCAGACAGCTCTAGAGGAGCAGTGCTGGGGGGCCAACCTTTCCCTCACTTGCCCTCTCAGCCCTTCCCCCAGGACACAAAATGGGGGCCCACAGCAAGCAGGTGGGACTGCAGCTTGATCCTGCTGCGTTGCCGCCCGGCCTCACCTCTGCTCTGAGGCCTCCAGGCGGCCCAGGGCCTCCTCCAAGTCTATACTGTGCTCTAGCTCCGACCTCCGCAGCCGTGCTTCGGTAGTCTCCAGCCGGGCCTGCAGCTGAGGCAGGCAGCCCATCAGAGGCCCAGCCTGGTGCAGTCACCCTGCCAGCTCTAAGAGTGGGCCTGTGATGCAGGCTTCAGGCCCCAGAGAGCCCCACATCTGCGTTTCACTGACAGATGGGCAGACGGAGGCGCTGATGTCCTCAGGGCCTGGCACAGTCACATGGGGCAGGTCAAGCAGCTAGGAGGGCACTACAGGAGCCATCCAGCCTGGGCCTCTGCATAGCTTTGGTGTCCTGCCATGGATCACAGAATTTCAGGCTGCTGACCACAGCAGTGCCCTGGGTGACCCAGATCCAGTGGAATCAGGAGATACACCAGGGCCCACGGCCCAGGCTGCAGGACTGTTACAGGACCAAGAGCTGACCCCAGGACCCTGGAAGTGCCCAAGAGGAAGGCCCTGGTTGAGTGCTAGTGGAGGATGGGGACTTGTGGTTGGTCTCCTGTCCCCTCAGACCTCAGCAGGAGGGGAAAGGCTCTGGACCTAATGGATGGAGGGTCACTGTGTCATGCTGGACACTAAGGCCTTGCTTGTTTAGAGGGAGCTGGCACTAGGCCGGGCTCCCCGCCTGGCAGGCTTGGCTCAGATCTGACTCACAGGCTTCCTAACCGCAGGGCTTTTGCGGCCTCTGTCCCCTCAGGCTGTTCCCAACAGCCCCGCCCTGTGCTAGGAAGATCCCACCCCTACCGGAGGAGGCCAGCATGAGCAGGGGACCACAGGCTGCGGCCTGGAGCCCTGGGTCAGGATGACCCAAACAGTCTTGCCCTGGGAGCTGGGGCGGGGCACGTGAACGGGTGTTTCCCACACAGAGCAGGCTCTGGGGAAAGTGGTAGAGGCAGGCTCACAAGAAGGTAGGAGCTGGAGATCCTGTGGGATTTCCAGGGAGCTCAGGGTAGGTGAGGTTCAGGTCCAGAGGGCATTTGGTGCTCAGGGTAGAGTGGCTCTGGGTGAGCACTGCCCCCTCTGAGCCTCAGTTTCTTCACTATCCCTGCCATGCAGAGCTCAAGAGGCCTGAGGACAGTTCAAGTGGTGTCCAGGTGTGGGGCTCTGTCCCCAGGATATGGCCATACCTCCGCCTCTCTGTTCAGGAGCCACCATGCCTGGGAGTGCCTGCAGGGGTCTCCACCATGGCCTCAGTTTGCCCACTTGCTGCCTGGGTCCAGATGTGTCCCACTGCCCTCTCCGGCCTTCAGCAGGCGACCTCAGCAAGGGCCAGGCTGAGCACGTGTACTCACGTGCTCGCTGACTGCATGGCACCGGCTAGCCAGCTCCTGTCGCTCAGCACCTGCCTGGGCCAATAGACCCTCCAGCCGGGCCAGCTCCTCCTGCAGCAGCAGCTCACTCTCCTCCTGCACTCGGGCCACAGCAGCAGGCAGCTCCTGCACCTCTGTGAACACAGCATGTCGGCCCCCACTGCCCAGCAGCCCCGTCCCACCCAGTCCTATCCCCATGCTTCAGCTTGCTCAGTGGCTGTCCAGATCGAGCCCCCACCAATGAAGCAAAGCAGCACCACCTGGACACTGGGTACCAGGGTAGACACCTCATCCCCAAGGGCGGGTCCTCTCCCTCCTCGCCACGGCGTGGGGCTCCCCACTCCTTTAGAAAGCAGGATGAACTTGGCAGTGTGGGTGAGAGGGCATGGCTCACACTGAGCAGACAGCCTGACTGCTGCATGACCTGGTGCAAGGGCTACACTTCGGGCCAGCTTTCCCTCTGTGTGACAGTGAGGATGCTGTGTGTGGGGTGCTGGGCGAGGGACACGGACAAAGCCTAGGGCTCAGGGTGGACACAACCCTAGGGTTCTCATGCCAGGAAAAGACCAGAAGGAAGCAACAGGGATGCTGCTGTTACAGTGTCAGCCCCTGCGTGCTAAGGTGAGTGCCCTGGGGACACCCTGGGGACAGAGGGCCAGCGGGCCAGGGGGCAGTCCCAAGTTGACACACTGATCTAGCTTCGAGTGTGCTGCCCCATTTCTCACCTGGGGTTGGCTCCCCACCCAGGCTGCCAGTCACGATCTCGCGGATGCGGGCAGGCACAGGGGTGGGCGAGGCCTGCTGCCCTTCCCCACGCATGGTAAGTGCCCGGTCTTCCTTGCTCGCTGTGGGGCTCAGGATGGTGTCCTCTAACCTCTGAAAAACACCCCAGAGACACCTAGCATCTGGCAGGCACTGGACAGTGCTAGACAGCCATGTAAGCCCACTGAATTAGTGGAGGCCATCACTAGGTCACCCCAACGTAGCAAAGGCCCCGGAGAGGGCAGGGCAAGGCAGGTGCCCTGGGTTTCCCCACATGTAAAGTGGGACAGCTCCTGGTTGTGTTCTGAGCATTGAGGAGGACTAGGTGGAAAGAAGGCTTGGCTGGAAATGGCCCCAGCCCCAGTGGCTTTGAGCCAGGTATGCCCCCTGATGGGTGGGTGGTTGCACTGCAGGGAAGGGGCAGGCCTTAGCCCCAGGGGCCAAGGTCCCAGCTGCCTCCCTTCCCAAAAGAGGCTGGGCACAAGCTTGGGGGAGGTACAGCCAGGGATACCTCCCTTCCTGGAGGGTCCTGAGCAGCTGAATTGCCAGGGAAGAGGCCCACACAGGGAAGAGGCCCAAATTGAGCACAAAATGCCAGGGTCCAGTGCTGGAGGTAGCCCTTGGGGGTCCTGGGTTCTGGCCAGCTGCAGCCTAGACAGAGCCCTCTCCCCAGGTGCTGGGACTTCCCCTGCTCACCAGGATGCACCACATGTGGGAAGCAGAGCAGAAGTCGGCTACACGGAGGCACAGGGCATCCCCCTCCCAGGAGTGAGCTGCGGGCTCAAGAAGGGACCTTTGGGGTGATTCTACTTCCCAGGATGCTCAGCTGACAGACAGTCTTCTGCCCCTCCCTCTCTGGCTCCCTGGCCATCAGAAGTGGACCCTTGTCCGCTACCCTAGGGGACCTCTACCTGGTGGCAAATTCCTGCTTGATTTTACCCAGGTCTGGCCCCACTGCCCTGGCTCTGACCTGCAGCCTGAGCTGGGGGGTCTCTTGGGTGTACCCTATTCCCATCACTCTTGCCCTATTCCTATTCCTATACTGGCCAGGTCTCTTTGGGTCCTGTGGTCACTAAGCACCCTGCTTGGCATCTGGATCTGTTTGCTGGGGCCCAGCTTTCTGTCACCAAAACTCAGGCTGAGTGTGGTGCCTGGGAGAGGCCCAGCACATGCTAAGGGGCTGGTACTCAGCCCCCAGGCTTGGATGTGCATGCCTGGGTATGGGTGGGCACATGTGTGCACGTGTGAGCATGTGTGCATATGTCCATGTGTGGTGGATCCCTAGAGGTCCCGGGTCTTGGGGAGGTCCTGCCCTTGTCCACATCCCCAGGGGACCCTGGGTGCTCCACAGGTAAATGGTCTCCCCTGCAGCAGAAGCAGGATGTGGGACACAGGGGTGGGCAGCCCCTTCCTAACAAGCTGGGGAAAGGGGGAACCCGGGCCCCCTCTCAGGAGAGGGCAAGAAGAGGTCCAGCCAGGGGCGGCCTGGCCCCTTACTTTGCACAGAAGGAAAATGAGGCCCGGCAGGCAGCACACAGCACCATCCTGGGCCACTGATCAGAGCTGACCTGGCCGCCCCAGGCCGGAAGCTCCCGCAGCCCCCTCTTCCCTCCCCTTTCCCTCCCCTGTGCTCTCCCCCAAATGTCCGTGGCGCCACCCGCTAACGGGAAGGCGGCGCGCAGCTTGGACTTGACTCATTCTGAGTGTTCACAGAGGGTCACTTATGAGCTACGTCCCGAGAGGCACAGGGGCGTAATGGTTTCCAGCTGCGGCCGGTGCCGGGCAGCCGAGCGGGAAGGGAGGGAGGGGCGTCCCTGGCCACCCCTGCCCTGTCCTCCCTTCCCCCTTATATCCTCCCCTTCCCCCACCCTTTGCCCTGTCCTCTCCCTCCCCCTACACCTCTCCTCTCTCCTCCTTCCTATCCTGTTCCCCTAGGGACTACAGAAACCTGGGGGAGGGTTGTGGCCTGCACTGGGCCATGTCCCCGGGCCTGCATTGGGCCGTCTTCTTACTCGGGGCCTCCTGACACTGTCTCTAGCATACTCTCTTCCCTCTGTCCCCAGGCCCAGCGTGGGATCAGTGCTGTTGCCTTGCGTCCTGCATTCCAGAGGGATCACCAGTCCTGTTCAGGGTCCTTCCTGGCTAACGGGGTACTGGTGGAGATGGGGCAGTGGGGAGAGTTGGGGGACACTGAGGCTGGGCGCAAGGCTCCCCAGAGATCCTGACTCAGTTGAGCCTGACCTCCTCCTGCCCCCAGCGCCCTCCTTGGTCCACAGCCCTGCAAGGGATGCTGGGAGCCAGGCCTGACCTGAGGGAGTCGTTCTGTGTGATAGACCAAGGGGCTCCCACTAGCCTTCCGTGCTCCGGCTCTGTGCAGCGATGTGAGGGACTGCAGTCCCCACAGGGTCAGTTCAGGATTCCCTCCAAGAGACCTGGGGCCACCAGCAGCTGGGACCCTCCTGGGCCTGTGTCCTCGTCTGCAGGCTGGGGTGGGGGGTGGTCTGGGCCACAGAGCCCTGGGCTGCAGATCCGGGGAGGTGGAGTGAGTGCTGTGCCGGCACCCATCTCACTCAGGGCACTCGAACTGTGCCCCTGCCAGCCCTTGGGGTGGGGATCCTAGGGGTGCTGCTGACCCCTGTCCTTTACCTCCTCACCTATTATGGGACTAAGGATCCTGGGGGGTGGGCCTAAGCGGGCTTGTGTTACGCCGTGCTGCAGATGGATAAACTGAGGCCAGAGACAGCGATTCAACCTGAAGGGGTCCAACTGAGGGGAGGGAGGTGCAGGGGCTCCAGCCTGCCCTTGGTCTCCTAGGGAGGCTGTAACCTTCATGTTCCACACCTGTCCCTGGGGCATGACCCCTCATTCCCGATGCTCCTTCCAGACCACTAGGGATGGGAATCCCTGGAGTGGACACCAGGTCCTGGGGTCTCAGTGAGGCAGGAGGAAGTGTGTGGTGGAGCGTGGCCTTCGGCCTTGAGTGGGACATGGGACACCCGGAGTAGGGACTGCAGAGGCTGACCGAGATGTCCTGCCCCCATGGTCCCAGCAGCACCGACCACACTTCTGAAGAGCCAAGGACGAAAGCAGGCCCTGTGAAGCAGAGGGGGAGGTGCGTGCGGCAGGAACTAGGTCCTCCTTCCCTCGGCTCCTGGCAGGACAGACACCGCACCCAGTGGTGCAGTGCAGGGCATGTGCCCATCCCCAGCAGCCTCCAGTGAAGTTAGGTGAGACCCCCACACCCAGAGCCCAGCAGAGGCAGATCAGGGCACGGAGACCTTCATGTAAAGTCACGGAGGGACAAGGTGCCTAGCATACCCTCAACACCAGGGCTTAGCTGGTCAGGAGGCACTGGGGAGACACTGCCCCTGGGTGGCTATGTGGGGAACTGCAGGATGCTGATTTGTTTCCAGGAGTCGGCTGGGCCTGGGGAGACCCGTGCCAGGTGCGTGTGGAGGAGCAGGTCGAGTGGGCCTCTCTTTGTAGTATTTCCATGAACAGACTGTTCCTATGCTTATTCTTGACCTGAGTCAGGAGGTCAGCCTCCAGCTTCCTTGTGGGAGGGAGGCTGGGCAAGTAGGATTGTTGTGGTCACCGCCTGAGAGTCCTGTGCTGGCCTGGGACCCCACCCTAGAGCCCAGACACCGTGGTCATGGCTGTTGAGCAGACAGCTCTCCCGCTTGGTGCCAGGGCCCCATGCCACAGGCCTCCCTCCAGCAAGGTCCAGCCACAGCGCTGTGCTTCCTCAGCCTGGCCTACTGCAGATGGTTCCAGGCAGGGGTCCCCTGCCAGTTCTGTGTCCTTAGAACAGAGCTGCTGTGGGCTGGGCAGCAGCCACCTCCCCAAAGGGTCACCACTTATGCCCAGCTCCCCGTGCCTGCACGCTGGGCTGGGCAGCACCCAGGGCAGGTGCCTACTGCTGGGTAGGAGGCTGCACCTCAGCTGATATTGAACCCAGAGGTTCCTTGAGGCTGGGTGCTGAAGTGAGCACTGAGTGTGAAGGGGGTGCATCCCATCTCCAGCCCCAGCATGGCACTTGGCACACAAAAGGCTCAGACACTGTTCACGATGTGAATGGCTGGAAACCCGGCTGGAACTGCCAGAGGTATGAATCACAAACTACTAAGTGACTCACAGCAAAGAACATTTCAGAGGCTGGGGACACTGTCTGCTCTTGCATCCCTGGTACCCACAGAGGCTGCCTGGGAAGGTGGCAGATGGACTGAAAGAGTCTAACAGCCAACAGTGCAGGTGTGAATTTACATGTGTGTGTGTATGTGCACACATGTGCACACTTGTGTGAGTGCAGAAACAGTGCAAGTGAAGCAGAGGCCCAAGGCAAAAGTCTGCAGGGGGCCTGGGAGGAGAGGCAGGGAGCGGACAGAGCAGGGCGTGAGGGCCTTGAACTGTGGTGGCAAGGAGAGGCCCCTGAGTGGGAGGAGTGGTCTGTTGGTTAGTGCAGGGCCACCTGTCCCAGCAGGAGTCCCAGGAGACCTGCATATGAGCCAGCCTGTCCTGCAGCTCACTCATAACATGCAGGGTTTGGTAGTGGCTTGTGGCCAGGCCCCCTCTGGCCATTCCTGCTCTCTGTCCCCATGGGCCTGCACTATGGTGGTCTTGTACCCTCAGAACCTTGGGGGATAAGGATCTCCCACAGGCTAATAGGATAGCTGGGCCAGGGGCTGGTTGCTGGGATGAGTGGGGCAGGAACCCTCTGTGCTGCCCCCAGACCTGTGGCCTGGGAGCCCTCAGAGGGCTGACCAGCAAGGTTGGAGACTGGGTTGGCAATGCTGTGTGACAAGGCTCCCATAAGTACCCTAAAGGAGGCTGTGGGGATAGCTCCGGGGGCTGGACTGAGTGCCAGCTCCTCCTGGCCTTGCCCTGGGCTCTCTTCCATATGCCAGGAGGAGTAAGGGTCTGCCTGCTTCTGAGAGCTGCTCTGATCCATTGCTGACCTCCAGAAAGAGGGAGGGGGCCCTGGATGCATAGAGCTGGAGATTGGCCTTAGACACAAGCACCCTGTGGGGTTAGCCCTCCACCCTCTGTCCTCCACCTGGGGCCTGCACTCTGGGGAGTAAATGTCAGCATGGAATTGACTTGTAGGACACCCCAATGGCACTAGAGACTTGGTCAATGTGAGCAAAAACCCACAGCTTTGGTAGCAGAAGGTGGTGAATCAAACAGTCCCCCCACTGCCTTAGGAGGCCTCCCAAGCCTTGCGCCAACTGCCAAAGCTGCTGCTGGAAGTGAAATCTTACTCTAAGGCTCAGATTCGTGTCCCCACCTGGTCCAGCAGGACTAAAGGGCCTCAGGGCACTCGTCCCTCTGGCCAGACTGTCATCTCTGCCTGTCATCTCCATGGAGGAGCCTTGAGTAACCATGATGAGATGTAAAAACTGTGCTGGACATTGGCACAGGTCTCTGTCCTTCTTAACTCTGGTCTTCCAAGCATCCTACCTTAATAAACAAGTCACCAAAATATATCTTGCTTAAGCTGGAACTGGAGTAACCTTCTCTTTGCCCATTCCTTTTATGCCTAAAAGCCCAGCTCCCCTCCTGGGAAGATTTTGTCTATATTATATCCAGGTTGCCAACTATTCAAAATGATGCTGAGACTGGCTTTTACAAGTACTGTTGTTCATATATAAAATGTTAAGAGAGTTTTTCATTGATCAAAATAATGTATTAATCTGGCCCTCATGTTACCAAAAATTTAGGACTACAGCTAGAGAGATTCATGACAAAATGTCAGACTCAATACAAGGACCTAAGAGCCAGCGGGTTACAACTGCTGTTGCTCAGAAACACTTTCTAAACGTTCCTGTCAGCCATACTGTTCTTGCTTTGATTGCTCATGCCTTTGTATACAATTATTATACAGGTTTTGATTAAAATTTGTTGTTGCTTAAAAGGTGCCAAACCCCAAAGATAAAACCAATAACAAATATGCTAGATTCTTTTTAGATTCCTTCAGCTGGAATCCACCAGATCTTGTCCAGAAAAAAGGTTACATGACACCTATTGAGGCAATAACTGTACCTGGCGGGCCTTAAATGATGCCATAGCTGGTCTCTCTTTCTTAAATGAAGTAAAATTAATGAGATAGGACATTCTTCAAAATCATGTCATTAGACATTGTAACAGCAGCATGGGGGGGGTACTTGTGCAACTGTAAAAACTAAATGTCTATACATTCCTGGTCTTTATGCTAATATCTCACTAACTGTTCAAGATATTAGATGACAAATCAATCACACGTCAGACTCTAAAATTCCCTGGATCTTATCTTTATCCTCCCTATGGGAAGCCATTACTAGAGTTTCGGTGGAAGTCTTTGTTAACTGTACTCCTAATTATTCCAATAATTCTATTATTTGGCCCATACATACTTGATTGTTCCTTTGCCTTTGTCTCCTCCAGACTTAAAGCTATATGCCTACCCAAGATAAAAATGCCTGGCGTCTATCAAGAACCTTTAGATAGACCTTCAGTAGATTATCTCTGACTGTCGAACAAAAACTATGGCCTCTTTCAGCCTGAAAAAGCCATTTGGTTATGGCCTATTACTCCCTCATAGCAGTTCAGGTTGCTTCTTCAGAGAGAAGAATGTTACAGGCAGCTGAGTTAGTTAGAAATAACGGCAGTCAGACAGGGCTGGGCCTTCGAAGGAACCAGTGCAAAAGACCAGATACCTTGCACACTTGGAGGAGATGGACACCTCCCACTGTGGGCCAGATCTCAAGACAAAAGATCAAACAAATACAACCACATCCTAAGAATAAACATCAGGGATTAATATTCTAAATATCTATGGACCACCTTGAGGAAGCCAGGAGTCACCATCCAAGCCCCTACAGGAAGAGTTACTGCTCTTTACACATGCCCTTTTGTCCCCAATTTAATCAGTGTTACCTGCACAATTAACTTTTATTAGTAGACCGTTGTTCTGCCCCACCTCAGACCCACCTTGCAAGTTCCCAAGTTTTCCCCACCTTGGACCCACCTCACCTCATGGTTTTGCTCTATAAAAGTTCCTAGAAAACAAAGTCTTTGGTACCCTTTCTGTCTCTCTGTCAGACCGAAGCTTTCTTTCTCTCAGTAAATATATTTCGCTCTTAAAAAACCAAAATCAAAACAAAAGCGAAAATCAGTCCCTACAGCTAGCATCTTGCTAAGTGTGCATTAGAAAAGGACACGTTAGTAAAACATACATTAGAAAAGGACAAAGCAAAAATGGAAAACTGAACTGAAAACCAGGGTGGCAACTCCTCAAAAAATAGAATTACCCTGAGATCCAGCCAGGCTTCTTCTGGGCGTTCACCCCGAAAGGAAGCCAGAGACTCAAGTAGGCTTGTGTGCAACTGTGGACGGCAGTGTTACTCAGCTCAGCCAGCATGAGCAGGATCCTAAGTGGTCACCAGTGGGTGAGTGGTTAAGCATCATGAGGCTCGTCCATACCATTGAATATTGCTCAGCCTTGAAAAGGAGGAAAATCCTGGCCCACCTGCAACAAAGATGGACCCTGAGAGCATCATGCTTGGGGACAGTACTGTTTGGCTCCATCTATCTGCAGTTGTCAGGTCCACAGAGACAAAGTATTCAGTGGTTGCTGGGGAGGTGTGGTCCTGCCACCCAGTCCTGATGGGCCTGAGTATCTAGTGGCGCCTGTGCAGCCTGCTCACCTGGGTACCTGCACCAGGATTTCAATCACCAATTGCAAATAGCAAGCGTTGCGTGGCTCTGCGAGGCTCTCAGGTGCCAGTGACAGGGACAGTGTGAGCTGGGGGCAGACAGAGGCTCCCCAGTCCTGTACTGCACCCCTACTGCGGGGCTGGTACTGCTCTGGATGGCTCCTTGGCCACTGCATCCACCTTGGAGCCTGGGTTCTCCAGGGACCTGAAAGGGCTTCAGGGACCTGAAGAGGCCCTGAAGAGGCCACGCAGGAGGCAGGGCTGAGGGTAAACTGAGGCTCTGGCTGCCTTTTTCCCTCACTCACTGGCCTGGTGCCTGGCTCCTGGGCCAAGAGCCCAGCAGAATGCCTGACAGGTGAAAGTCCCCACCTGGGGCTCCTCGTGGGTGCCCATGTGTACATGTGTGTACACGTACATGCGTACACACTGATGTGACTGTATCATTAGCCACCTGGTGCTACCTCTAGACAATTACTCCTTCCAAGGGACAGGTGTTGTTTATCTAGGGCTGCATCAGTCCCACAGCAGGTCTCCACGGTCTGCAGCTTGGGCTGATAAACAGATGAGTCACTGGTTCATCGGGGGTGCACCGGGATCCCAAGGTGTAGGAACTGCCTGGCTCTGGTGGCCACAATGGATGATAAGAGCAGGGGAGGCAGGAAGGGCTGTGCATGGAGCAGTGGGCATCCAGGAGTCAAGGTGGGGCAGAGGGACCCTACAGTTGTGTCAACACTTGGCAGGTTGAGTGTCATAAAGACAGAGGAGCTGACGGAACGGGTATTGGGGATCCCCTCATGGCAGCCCCCGTCCAGAAAGCCCGGGCAGCTCTCACACCTGGCACAAAGGAAGTAGAAGACAGCGGATGAGCCCAGAGTGCCAGGCAGAGGGTCAGAGCCTGGGTAGGCTGCTGTGCTGAGCACCTGCCAGGCTCCTCCCAGGTGTGCCTGTGCCTTGGGCACCCCTGCCCTTGCACATGTGCATCCACGTGAACATGTGAGCAGGTGGAAAGTGCCCCTGGACTTGGAGGAGCTGCAAGTCCCCTATGTGCAGTGTCCCTGAGGGGCCCTTAGCATTGGGCAGCCACCTCACTGACCTGGATCGCGGTGGCCAGCCCCAGTGGGGACTGCTCGGCGGAGTCCGGGTCACTGGACTTGCTGTAGTCGGTGCTCATGTTTGGCCAGAACACAGGACCCCTTGGAAAGCGCAGGCTTGGCTCTCTGGTGAGTGTCCTCTGCCTTGGCCTGGCTAGCTAGGACCTTGCATGTTGCCCCTGCCTTGTGCCTGCCTCACACCTGCATAGGGCTCGTCCCGCTGTGCCGAGACCTGCTCCTGGGCACACAGCTGCCCAGCTAGGGTGCTGAAACCAACAACACGTCCAGCGAAGCCAGGGCAGTTGCTGTGGCAACCAGGACGCTGAGGGCTGGGTTTTCCTGGAAACAAAGAGTACGGTACTTGTTCTGGGACCAAGGAATGTTGTGGAGCGAAGCTGTTTCCTAGAGAACTGGAGTGAAGCTGTCCTGTGCAACACACCTGGGGTGGCCTCTCCCCACGCCCGTTTACACAGGTGGACTTAAAGGCTTGCTGCCCATCCAACCTGGCTCCTTCTCACTGAGAATGCCAAACTGTCACTTTCTTAACCTCTGGAGGTAGCCAGCCAAGCCTGCTAAACTGCTAAACAGAAACACTAGAGGGGAGCCCTGCCTGAGGCCAGAAAAGCCCTGAGTGCCCCTTCCTCTGCTCCCAGAGCCCTTTCAGGGCTCCCCCCACCCATTCGTAGGAATGGGTACTACCCTGAGGTACTACCAGGGGCACCGGCCCCAGCCCTCAGAGTGGAGGGGAGGAAGGTGGTGGTGGGCTTCTGGGCAGGGAAGGCACTTCCCATGGTCAAAGGCACAGCTGGTCCTGCATGCCCATCTCTCCCAGAGCTCTGGGTTCTCAGCCAGCCCAGTAGGTGGGCAGAGGGACCAGCAGGCCAGGCCCTCAGAGGTGGGGTGAGGCACTCCTGACCCCGGCTGCTTGTGGCTGGATGCTTGGCCTCTATCCCTGAGGTTGGCACTGTGTTCCTCCCATGGTTACCACTGCAGTGGTTGGCAGTGAAGGTGGATAGGGTGGCCACTTGCTGAGACTGCAGTGCAGGAAGTGGAGGCTCCTGTATTTAAACAAAGCTCCCTGAAGTACTGGGCCCTTTTCTTCTCTGGGGTCCCCACAGCCTACCTCACCCAGCTCCAACTGGACAGGGATTCCCACACAGGATTGCACCAGCCTCTTTGATCAGATGCAGCCCTGCTAGGGTGCAGGGTCAGAGTTCAACAAGCAGTCCTGAGAGGCTTGCTCAGTGCCCCTGACTCCAGTGCCCTGGATCTAGGTTTAGATCCTGGAGCACAGCCATGGCCAGGGCACCTCCTTGGGTAGCTTGTGGCTCTACCTGGCACCTAAGGGGACAGGGAGCAGGGGAGAGGGATCTCACATGAGGCCCTTGGGGGAGGAGGGGCATGAGGAGACTGTGGAGATGGGGTGATCATCTGCAGGACCTCCTGGGCAGCTGGAGCAAGACTTCACTCACTGCTGGGTATGGTGCTCACTCCTGTAATCCCAGCACTCTAGGAGGCTGAGACAGGAGGACTGAAAATAAAACATGACAATAGGCTGGGGATATACTCAGTGCAAAGGCAATGGGTTCAATCCCCAGTACCAGGATGGAAAAGAGTTCTTTCCCAAACAAGCTATTAGCTGAGCTAGTGTCCTCTGTCCAGGCCAAAGTTAAGGTCCTCCAGCTCAGCCTGAGGCTATCACACATGCGGGCTGGGGCTGGGGGTGGGGCTGGGCTCAGGTTTTGAGAGTTCGTGTGGCCTTGGAGATGCTGTAGACTGAGAGCAAAGGCAGGGCACATCTCCAAGGTGCCTGGGCCACAGCCATTCCCAGTTGCAAAACAGGAGAGCCTCCAGGAGAGCCTGGCAGCAGGGCAACTGCCCACAGCCCTGAAGCCCATCAGTGACCCCAAGTCAATGCCAGGCCACCACCTTGCTCACTGCTTTCGGGGCATCTGAAAGTCCTGGGAGCTGCTGCCCCCAAGCGTCCTCTGGGCCAGGTGGAGGAGCCCAGATCCTGATGGACTCCAGCTCGGGACTCCTGCTGCGTCCTTGCCTGTGTAGGACAGGGGCTGTGGAGGGAGGTCAGCCCTGGTGCGGGCCAGCAGCTGGGCTGTGCCTGAGGTCATGCCCAGGCCGTGTCTGGTACAGGGGTGTTGTCTGCTTCCCGTCCTGCACCTACATGACCACGCCTTGGGCACAGCCGTGAGGGAGGCCCTAACCAGGTCATCGCTGCCACCCAGGACCGTCTGCTCTGTCAGCTGTGTGGTGGCTCTGGAGCAGGCTCAGGTCCCCGAGGCACAGAGTCACTGGAGAAGCAGAGACAGCAACAGAGATCAAGGCAGACTCCATAGTGATTAAGGCCAGACGGGCAGGCCTGGAGCCCGAAGGGCTGGGACAGAGCCTGTGACAAAGATGCCACATTCCTTTCCTTCCCCACCCTTTTCCCCTAGAATTGTCCCTTGTGTGAACTGAGCCTGGGGACTTGTCAGAGCCACTGCATCCTGTGCACAGCAGGCCGACCAACTCCATCCTCATTGCCTGCTGCAGAGAGAGGACAGGAGGGGAGGAGGGAAGGAAGGGGAGGAGGGAAGGAAGGGGAGGATGGGAAGGGAGGAGGGGAGGACGGGAAGGGAGGACAGGAGGACAAGGGAGGGGGAAGAGAAGACAATGGGGAGAGTGAGGGAGGAGGATGAGGCGGGAGGAGGATAGGAGAGGACTGGACACCAAATGAGGCGGGGCGAGGCCGGCATGGTGTGTGATGGTTCCACTGGATGTGTGGTGCCTTTCACGGGCTTCCAAGGTGCCTTCCTCTCCCTGGAGAGTTGGGAGTTGGGTGGCAAATTATGGTGTCCATGATCCAGCTGACGACAGGAGGAGAGGCTGGCTGGCATGTGTGCGGGCTTGTGGATGCAGCCGGCCTGTGAATCCTGGGAGGCTCTTGGGGTGTGTGTGTGTGGGGGGTGTCTTTGGCCTTCACCATCTGTGTTGACTCATGGGAAGGCCATGGGGGGGATGATGGCCCCAGGGACTTGGGTACATGCTCTAGGGCAATCAAACACAGAAGGAAGGGATTGGGGCAAGGCTTGGCATCCTACCAGGATCTAACACTAAGAGCTGAAATGTGAAACTCTTTGAAGAAACAGGCAGGAAAGTCTCGTGATATTGGGTTTGGACTTGATTTCTTAGACATGAACTCAGAAATACAGACAGCAAAAGAAAAAATACATAGATTAAACTTTATTAAAATTTAGCACATCAAACCTCAGCATTACAGAAAGTAAAAAGACAGAGTTTTTTTTTTGTTTTTTGAGACAAAATCTTCCTATGTAGTGCTGGCTGGCCTTGAACTTGCTTAGGTATCCCAGGCTGGCCTTGAACTCGCAGCAATCCTCCTGCCTCAGCCTCCCAAGTACTGGAATTACAGGAATGTGCCATCATATCTCACTAAAAACCACAGAATATTATGTAGAGAAACAATTAAAATTTTTCTTCTGATGTAGGGTTAAAATCCAGAATACATAACACACAACACAACTCTACAGTAACAAAACAACCCAATTCAAAAGCAGGCAAAGAAGGTGAATAGACATTTTTCCGGAGAAGTAGTGTAAGTGTGCTTGATGTCATAAGCGTTAGGCAAAAATAAAACAATGGTAATGAGATACCCTCCGTGCCTGGCATGTTATCACCCAGAACATAGAAAATGAGCTGGTAAGGATGTGGGGAAGCCAGGAGCCTGTGGGGGTCAGGTGTTTGAGAACGGCGAGGCAGAGTCCTTCAAAACCGAAATGCCAGACACCCCAGCAGTCCCTTCTTTGCCCAAAGAACTGAAAGCAGAGACTGGAGAGAGATCTGCACACTCACATTCACAGCAGTCGCATGCACGGTGGCCAATCGGGAAAACCAACCTGGGTGTCAGGCATGCATGAAAAAATAAGCAAAATGTGGTCCACCCATGTGGTAAAATACTCCGTGTTAAAAGGAGAAAATCATGGCCGTGCTAGAGCTTGGGTCAACCTCAAGGATGTCCTGCTCAGTGAGATCAACCAGGCACCAGAGGACGCTGTGCAGCTCCCTTTCTGGAAGTCCCAGCATTTGTCAGACCTACAGGGACAGGAAATTGGATGGTCAGACCCACAGGGACAGGAAGTAAGGTGATTAGACCCACAGGGACAGGAAGTTGGTCAGACCCACAGAGACAGAAAGTGAGGTGGTCAGACCCACAGGGACAGGCAATTAGATGGTTAGACCCACAGGGACAGGAAGTAAGGTGATCAAACCCTCAGAGACAGAAAGTGAGGCAGTCAGACCCACAGACAGGAAGTAGGCGGTCAGACCCACAATAAAGAAAGTTGGATGGTTGTTTCAGGGCTGGGAGGGGATGGAGATGGTGTTTGATGGCCAGAGGTTCATTTCAGGCAGATGAATGAGTTCTGGAGCTGTGCAGTGGTCCCACTGCACATTCTTAATGCCATGGAATTGCACCCTTAAAAATAGCTGAAATGATAAATTTCATGTTTTATTGACTTACCACAGCATAAACCACCAAAGCCATGCTGAAAGACTGTCATACATGGGGCTGATTCTTCTCTTATATCTACTACCAGGACGCAGGAGGTTGACCAAATGGCCTTGTACCAGGCAGCACTGGGTCATCCTGAGTGCCCATGGTGACTCTCATTGTGTGCCTCCTGTGCCCCTTCTGCTGTGTTCTAGCCTCCTGCACCTGCTTGGCCCTGTACCAGGGGAGGACAGCCCTGAGTCTGCTTACAGTGGTCACTTGCTGAACAGCAGGCCAGGGCTACAGTGATCCCTTGGGACTGTCCTGGGCACCAGATGGGAGCACAGTGGCTCAGCTCCTGGGCTCTGCAAAAGGCTCATGTCTTTTGTCCTGATGGAAAACAGGGACCCTCTCATCTCAGGAGTCTTTGGCACACAAGGTAAGGTGTGACTAGAGCAGGCAGCTTCCCCAGGAACTGTGGCTACGGGGCAGGGGGAAGGCGCAGGGGTTTCCTGGTGCCACCATGGTGGGAAAATCTCTGATGGCATCCAGGCTGGGTGCCCCTGTAGTTGTGGAAGGGGGCTCCCCTACTCCTAATCATGGCTGCTGTCCCTGCAAGGCCCTGGCTGGAGAGGTCTTGGGAGAGGTGTGGCCTCCAGGTTGTCACAAGTCCCAGCGCCTTCCCCCCTGCCCCGTAGCCACAGCTCCTGGGGAAGCTGCCTGCTCTAGTCACACCTTACCTAGTATGCCAAGGACTCCTGGGATGAGAGGGTCCCTGTTTCCCATCAGGACACAAGACATGAGCCTTTTGCAGAGCCCAGGAGCTGAGCCACTGTGCTCCCATCTGGTGCACAGGATTGTCCCAGACCAGGCAGCTGCTTTCCCTGGGATCTGCCATCCTCCCTGTGGCTCTCACTCCTTGGCCCAAGGCTTCCAGGTTGCAGTGGGCAGGCAGCAGGTCAGCCCATGGTGGTCATCAGTGCATCAGGGTTGGTCTGGAATACAGGCCATCTTTGAACAAGGGATCTTGTCATCCCCCTCCCATGAGGTTTAACTTGTCAGCTACATTCTTGCCTCCCCTGGAGTGGCCTTTCTGGGTGGCTGTGGTCATCTGACTTCCCTGGAGGGGTGGCCCTCTGGGTGGCGGCAGAGACCCCCACTCAGCCCCATCCTTGGCTGCCTGCTGTGGCCAACACTGCCCCATGCCCCAGCCCCTTGTCCTGATGCTGTAACCATGCAGGGTTTTTGGTCCCCTGAACACACTCTGGCTCTATCCTTCCTATGGGAATTCACCTAAAACCCACAGACAGGAGACGGGGCCCACACAGCTGTGGCATTCTCACGCACACCCTGGGCACAGGCCATGCGTGGGCCGATGATGTCATCATCTGGGAGCACCAGTCTGGGAAGCCCCACCAGGCTGGGGTTCTGGATACAGGAGCAAGGTTGTCACTGTCCCTGCAAGCCAACAGCAACTCTCAAGCAATTCTAACTCTTTCTGCCCTGTAAAGCATGGTGACCTTGCTGTTCCCGCCTACACATCCTGGGCCCCCACCCCAGCAGGACACTGGTTTCCCCAGGACAGGCGTCTGTTTGCTGGGTGGGGACAGCCAACATCTGCCTGATTCTGCCAGGGCACGGAGGCAGCCTGAGGCCCGTGTCATGCAGTGCTGGCTGGGACTCAGGGAAAGTGACTTGCGCAGGCCACACAGCAAGCATATCCTCCTTGGGCCTCCTTTCCAAGTCTGCCTTGGAGCCAAGGAGGGGTCTGGGGGGCTCTGCCTCTGGAGTGCGGCTCCGTCATGGCCAGTGCTCTGTGGTGACTGGGATAGTACCATGTCCCTCGCCAACAGTCCTCTTAGTCCCTGTGGTCTCTCTGCTCAGTCTCTGCAGGTTCAGTCAGAGCCTGTATCCAGCTTCCTGAGAACTTTGCTCACCTACTGTTTTCTGGCATCATCCGTGCTGGGTACAGGTGCTAGCCAGGCTCCAGGACACTCAGAGGTAATCTGCTTTGTTCAGCCATGGGAGTGGATGGTGGCTCTGCCGCCAGCCAGAGGGGGTGAGGCAAGGCGGCCCAGCCCTTTGGGGGCTCTGATGTGAACTGAGGTCTGGGAGAAGCAGCCTACCCTGGTCTGCATAGGAGGACACCCATGCTGCGGGGCTTGGTGAGCAAGGAGGGGGCAGCACCTTCCTCTCAGAGCAGGCATGGCTGAGTCCTGGGCAAGGGCGGGGGCTGAGGGTGTGAGGAGTGAGGCTGGGAGAGCTGGAGATGCCACCGAGCCCTGACGTTGCAGCCCAGGCTCCCAGCAGGGCAGGAAGGTCAGGCAGGGCTTGAGGCCCATCTGTTCCCTTGCAGTCCCATGGAGACAGACTATGACAACGAGGTGTGCTGCTCCAGGCAACCCCAGTGGGCAGGCCTGGTACAGGCTGGAGGGAGCCTGTCTCGCCCCAGAGGTGTAGGGCTGGGGCCTGCAGCCATAGAGGTTTCCAAGTGCCAGGCCTTGCTGGCTGACCCACTGCTCAGGTCCCTTCAGGTCCCAGTGGCTGCAGGGACAGCGTAGCTCTGCAAGCTGAGCCCTCTGCACATGACCAACTGACCAGCCAAGGCCGAGGGTGGGCAAGGAGGCTTCTGCAGGACTCTGAACCGGAAAGCTGCAGCTCCTGGGCCAGGTGGATGGTGGCTCTACTCAGGAAAGCCAGCAGGGGGTACCTGAGGGGCCCAGGCCAGGTTGGTGGACAACAGCTGGCAGAGGCAGGGCTTGCACACACCTCCCATCTTCTGCCTTTCCGCTGGCACAGGTGTCTGGGCGCGGGTAGTGACTGCAGCTTTCCAGGCTGCCTTAGAGAGAGGCCACAACCCCACACAGGCCCCAGGCAGCAGTGCCTGTGTCCCTTCTCACCTGAGGCATGGGGACACCTGTGTTCCTGCCAGCCTGGCAGAGAGGCTGGGCAGGAGAGGCCTGTTTTCCAGAGTCCCTACTACCTGCTATTGGGATATGATGGGAGGAGAAAGCCCAGGAATGCAAGTCCCTTGCCAGGCCTGTACTCCCGGCACAGACCACAGGCTGAAGTCTCAGCCTGAGACCAGAGAGTCAGGCTGCAGGAAGGAAGGAGAGAGGGAGGGAAGAAGGTGTAACCAGGCCCGGCCCCCTGGACAGCCCCTGGGACCTTCCTAATCGCTGGGGACTGACTCACCCTACTTCAAAGCCTTGGCTGCCATTCAGTTGTTTAACCTGCGCCTAGCACTGTCGCCCCGGAATTCTGCTCTGCAGCTGCTCCCCGGGCAGGTGCCTCCCATCCGCCCTCCCAGCCTGTCCCCAGCCAGCTACAGAGCAGTCAGTCCCCAGGGCTATCCAGCGATGGCTGTGAAGGTGCCCCTGTGGCACCACTACCTGCAGGCCATCCGGTCTCGGGAGGTGTCCCAAGTGCAGGACTTCCAGCGCGCCGAGGACATCCTGCTCACTGTGCTAGAGCGTGTGCATGCCCTGGACCCCCGCTTCCTTGTGGACTACTCCCATCACCTGGAGGCCTTCCAGTTCGCCCTGCGCTCCTCGGATGACCCACTGGACATGCAGGTGCTGCTACGGGTGGACACCAGTGCGCTCCTGATTGAGGAGCTGGGGACCTCGGAGTCAGGGGGCGGCCCTGTGCTCTGTCGCCTGGGGATCCCTAGGGAAGCAACCAACCTGGAGCCATGGATGACTGAAGATGTTTTCAGCGCCTCCTCAGAGGGCAATGCCGAGTGCTGTGGTTACATCGTGCCCAGCAAGGTCCTCCGTGTCCTCAAGGACCTGCTGGTGGCCGCCATCGTGCATTGCAAGCACCACAGCCTCATTGCGCCAGGTAGCAGGTTGGGCCACTCCAAAGCCCGTGTGTGTGCAAACATATGTGTTCCTGTGCGTGTGCTGGTGATGTGCACTGTTGTTGGGTGTGTTGGCACATGTGTTGTCATGTGCCTTCCCCGTCCTCGTCCCAGCACCTCTAAGGAAATGTGGTACATTTCCCCTGTTGCTTTAGTCTTGTTTTGGAGCATAATGTTTTCAAGATGTCACTATTTCAGCACCAGTGAATATGACCATGTGTTGTTTTGCAGGTTGAGTGGCTCCAGGAGGGTGGTTGGTGTGGTTCTAGGCCACTGGCTCTGGTTTCGGTCACAGCTTGTTGTGACAATGTTCAGAGCCAATCCCTCCTCCAGCCTTGAGTGCATTGCACCAGGCTGTGTACATGTGTGTGCACATGTGCAAGTGCACATTCACCTGGACCTGCTAGTGTGTACAGGTGAATAGAGAAAGAGATTTTGGGCTTTTGTGTACCTCAGTTTGTCCCAGTTTGTGGGCAGCCCCCAGCGGAGCCAGGGAAGCCAGTCTCCCTCAGTAAGGACTCAATGGGGTGGGACCTGTGCAGGGAGCTAAGTAACAGGGCTCCTGAAGCCCATCCTCTTGGGGTCAGGATGGGGACACTTGGTTGTCTTGGCCAAGCATTAGGGACAAAAACAGAACATCCTGCTTTTCAAGGCAGGGCCAGGTATGTAGTGGTGACAGTGGTCACTTCTTTTTTTTTTTTTTTTTTTTTTTTTTTATCGGTACCAGGGATCAAACTTACAACCATGCACTTGCAAGGCAGGTGCTTATGCCGCTGAACTAAATCCCCAGCCCCTAGTGGTCACTTCTTGGCCTTGCTTTCTCAAGTCATCTTCCTAGTGACTCCTGGTCCTCATGGGGACTCAGAAGTGGGGTGGAAGCTTCTCTGTGGGGGCTTCCAGCACCTGGGGCCTGGGCTGACTCCCAAAGTGTCTCCTGCTTTCTATTGACAGAGAACATGGTGGCAGCAGAGCCCACCACCAGGTTGATCGAAGGACCCAGAAGGCCTGGGGCCTTTGGACGGACTCCATGCTGAGGGCAGCTCCTCTGCATCCTGCCTGGAGGGTCTTTTCGCTGTGTACTGACCTTCCAGGCTACTGAAACCCATCATTAGGTGTCTGCTCCCTGGATTACGGCAGCTTGTCAGGTTGAGTCAGCTCCTGGCCTCATTGCTGTGGAGCCTAGCAGGAACTCGCTGTCCTAACCAAGCCCCGAAGTCTGCTCTGGGTGAGCAGAGGCTCTGGGCCACTTTGGGTCAGTGGGAGTCGCTCTCATATGCCCAAGAGCTCCAGGTCGTTTCCCCATACTCACAAAGGGTGATGTGTGGTAGGCCGGGAGCAGGCTGTCCCCACCCTGGAACCGGTGTGACCAGCTGGGGTGGTGGGGCTGCCAGTTCACGGACTGAAGGAAGGAACTTGTGATCCATGGAGATGGGGCACAGGGCTGCTCAGGGTGGCTGTGGACAAGGTCACTGTAAATACTGATTTGAGGAGGTTGGGGGAATCACCTGGGGTGGGGTGGCCTGTGAGAGATGGTGCAGGCTATGGGTCCATCTGAGGGGTGGTGAGGATACTGTCCCCACCCACTGGAGCTCCTTCTGGGTGCCTATCCAGGACTTCTGTGGATCCTGCCTGCCTATGGGCCTGAGTCCCCCCCGCCCCTGAGAGTCACTCCCCTCTCCTGCTCAGCACTGATTCGCTCTGCATGGAGCACGCAGCTCCCAGAAATGCCTGTGGAGGGTCTGGGGCTCCAGGTCAGGGACATGGGGCCTGTGTTGGAAGGCAGATACCCCCCCAGGAGGTATGGTCCACAAGGTGCAGGGGAGTGTGGGAGATGGGACTCGGGATGCAGGGCGGGTCTGGATGTGGGTAGGAGCTAGGCCCCTCTGTCATCTCAGAGCAACTGGGCCAGCCAGGTTGGCCTGGAAGCAGGGTCTTGTGCACATTCTGCTCTCTCCTAGGTCCTCTGCTGCCCACCCCTTCCTTGAGGTGTGAGGACAGTACAGTCTTGAGTCAGCTACAAGGGGACTCTTGGGGCGGGGAGGAGGGGCATGCTATGATCAGGAGGGTTCCAGCCTGCCTCTGTGCCATTGGCTGAGTCTGAGCAATCCTGTCTGTCTGTCCTCACCATCCTCACTGATCTCCTCCCAGGAGCTCAAGTGCAATTCCCTGGCATCTAGGGGTGCGCAGGCCCAGGGATGGGATGTGGGTACACTGTTCCCCAATGCTGAGAAGGTGCCAAGGCACAGATAAGCCTGGAAGGGCAGCCTTGAAGCCCTGTCCTCCCTCCTGCAGAGAGGAGCTCAGGCTTGGGGCTGCCCAGGGCTACACAGACCAGGTGGGCTCCAGGAGTTTACAGCCTTCCCTGCAGAGCCCAGTTCCATGCACTGGCTCAGGACAGTGCCTGGTCCAGTGCTGCCCCTTGTCCTTGGTGCTGTCCTGGCCCCCACCTAGTGGTGAACAGGGCTGAATCTGGCTGGGCAGTCAGTCAGTCCTGGGCATGGAGGTGAGGCTGGTTGGTGGGATCCCCAGACTTAGCAAAGGGGGCCCTTCAGGGAAGTGCTGCCACTCTAATGCTGAGGAGTCACCAAACTGACAGTCAACCCACAGAGATGTCAGGTGTGGCACAGCCAGCTGTTGGCTTGAAGGATGGGGCATCTGTGGGCATTGAGGGCGGAAGGGCAGAGCGGCATTGCTCTGAAAGGCATCGAGGGGCTCGGTAGTGGCAGAGCGGGCCAGGGTTGGCAGCTGGCCTGATGGCGTCCTCGCAGGTTCACTGAGTGCCACCAGCCTGCAGGAGGAGCAGCTCCACCTGTCTCTGCTCGTGTCCAGCGGCTGGAGGAAGATCCGCTTCAATGTCATGCCCGTGCTGAGGAGGAAGGGCGATGTGCCCGGCCTGTGCAGTGCCCGGCTCACTGCCGGCTTCCCAGAGGGTGCCCTGAGAAGGATCGTCAGCTACGGGGCAGACCTGGTGCCTGCCAGCACCCAGCACTGGAGGTATAGCAGGCCCCTGTCCTGGGTCTCAGGGTCCTAGAGAGCAGGTGAGGAGGAGCCGCCTCCCAGGCTCCCCACCCCGGGCAGAGTCTGTGGGTCCTCTGTGTGTCAGGAGGTGCTGACACCTCTAGGGAAATTGGGGTCTGTCCGGCTTCCTCTCCTGGGGCTATGGCCATAGAAGCCTGAGGGGTCAGGGAGCTGAGGGCAGCTGGGTGGGATATGTGTCACCTGGTACAATACCAGGCTGTCAGCTCTATGTGCCAAGGGGGCAGAAAATGAGACTGAGTGCCAGGCTTGCTCATCTGCCTGGGCTGCCCTTCCAGGCTATGCTTCAGCTCCCGGGGGTCCCCCACCCCCTGCTTGGCTACAGATGGTCCTGCTGGCCTGGCCTCTGGTGGTGCCTCCTTGGGTCCCTAGTCTCTGTTCCTGGGGTCCTGTGGTCTCAGGAGGGCCACCTGTGTTTCTGTTAGTGTGTGGGGGGCAGTGGTTGGGCCCTCTGGAGACTTCAGGGACGAAGCCCCATCCAGATTAGACACAAACAGAGGTGTGGCAATGGACTCGGTGGTTGCCCAGCTGGCCCACAAGCCTGAGGTGGCACTGGCTTCTTCTCCAGTTCCTTTTGTCAGGGGTGACACCTGTAAGCTCTTGGGCTCCTTCTGGTGCCTCCGTGGAGCCCCGCAGGGACCCCTGCCCATCCCAGCTGCAGGGCTGGGATGCAGGGCTGCAGTTGGGCTTACAGAGTTCCCACCCACCTGCCATGGAAGACTGGGCAGAGGCATTTCCTGTGCATAACCAAGAGTGGCCTCTCTGGTGCTGGGATGGGTGACAGTCAAGACTGGAAGTGTGGGTGCCAGTTGGTGGCTGGCTCAGCAAGCATACCATGGGTGCCTCTGGCAGGGCTGAGGACCCCGAGCCTGCTGGTTATCCCTTGGTGATCACAAAGGCAGCTCTGGCTTCCCAGAGGGCTCTGGGTGCAGCTGGTGTTCCTGCCTTGCTGGGGCCTGTGACGCCGCTTCCCAGGCACCAGGGTGGCTCCCTAGAACCTTCCTGTCTACCGAAGGGTGGCCCCCAGGGGGCTCTGTGTCCCACAGCCACTGGGCATCTGTGCAATTGGGGTGCTCAAGAGCATGTTCTGAGAAAGGTAGGGACGGCAGCTCAGCACAGCCCTACACCCACTGCAGGGCGTGGCCTCCCCATGGGCAGGGTTTGAGCTCCCACACAGACACAGGAGGCCCAGCAGCTGGTGCTCTTCCTGAGGCAGACTGGGCATCCAGCCTGTTGTGTTCTGGCTTCCAGGACCTGCACAGGATACCTGCTCACCCAGCTGCTTGGGGAGCTGGGCACCCTCCAGGGCCACCGCCTGGACAGCCTCGCCCTCCTCGACCGGGTCAACCATGAGCACTGGAGGGCTGGGGGCCATGAGTCAGGCCTGACCTTTGACCACCTGAAGGTAGGTGAGGGGAGGCCATGGCCACCCAGCTCTCCCTAGCCGCCTGTGTCTGTAACCTGGGCATTGGGGTAGGGGGGCACCCAAGTGTGTCCCTTCCTGGGTTGGGGACCTCTGAGCCCTGCCAGTCTGCAGACACTATCAGGTCAGACCTCAGGGTGGGCTGCACAGAGCTGGGCCTCTCCCTGAGTGGAAGTGGCCAGGCCTGGCTTGGGTGCTGGACAGGGCAAGGTGGGTCCCATAGATGCACGGTAGACACAGGCAAGGCAGGGCTGGGCATGGACCCAGCAGGCAGTGGGGGGTGCAGGGCTGTGGGCTGTGGGTCACTGCCAGGCCTGGCCTCCCAGGTGTTGAGGAGAGGTGGCCTGGCCTGACTTTGGACCTCAGCTCTGCCCAGAGCTTTGTCCTCCCTGGCTACCTGTCCTCTTAGGCCTGCACCTGAGGTGGGGTACATGAGGGGCATGATTTGCAAATTGATTGTGCTGGGGGCCAGCAGAAGGAGAGGGGCCTCAAGACAGGAGGCAGGAGGCGCTAGAGTGCACTGTCCTGACGTCACAGGAATGGACCCTTTAGATAGGGCTATAGAGGATGAGTAGGAACTCCATGAAAGGGCATGAGGGAACCCCAGAGGATGTAGTGAGCCTCCGGTAAGGATCTGAGGTCCAGGTTAGGGGTGAGAGAGGAGAAAGAGGGGTCCCTTGAGAAGAAAGGGTCAGAGAGGGGATGGACGCCCCAGAGCTGCTAGGCTGGGGTAGCATCTGGGGTGGAGCCTGACCCTAGACTCAGATGAAGGGCAGAGGCACATAAGCTGGGGGCGGGGGGAGGGTGCGGGGGAGGCCTCATGGTTGCCCCCTGTCTGCAGAATGCGCTGCTGTGGGCGTGTGCTCTCTTCCCAGCACCTGAAGACTGGGCAGAGCTGCAGGGCGCTGTGTACCGAGTGCTGGTAGTGCTGCTGTGCTGCCTGGCCACCGGGACTATGCCGAACGTCCTCCACCCTGGGCTCGACCTGCTTCTGGGCAGTGGCCTGGACCTTGGCCGCGTCTACCAGCAGGCGGAGGGCTTTGCTCGCCAGCCTGAGGCTGCCCTGCGCATCCACGCCACCCACGTGGGCCGCAGCCCCCCACCACGCGTGGGCCACGGGGTCAAGGCACTCCTGCAGCTGCCGGCCAGCGACCCCACCTACTGGGCCACTGCCTACTTTGATGTCCTGCTGGACAAGGTGGGCCAGCCAGCCAAGGGCTCCCAGGGACCTGGGTTGTGGAAGGGAAGGGTGGGGACAGAGCCAGAGGACGGCTCCAGGAAGAGGCCACCAGGCATGGGGTGGCCACTGCCTGAGTTCAGGGCTCCTCCCCTAGACCCTGAGGACAAACACCAGCACCCCAGCTCACTCTGGGCCTTGTTCTTCATAACATGCAGCCTTCTGGGCCCCCTGAGCCCCATTTCCGCTCACCCATGGCCCTCAAGGCCTGCTTTTCAGGGGTGCCCCTCACCCCACAGAGCCCACTCTAGCTCACGTTCACTCATGGTCAGCTGTCTCCACAGCAGGAAGGGCCTGGGCCAGAAGAGAGCTGTTGGGTCATGGCACCCCAGAAGCAGGGAGGGGAGGAAGTGGAGGGAGATGCACCTCCAGACCACATAGGCAACACTGAGCATCCAGGCTCCAGTCACCTCTCAGGAAAGGACGTTTCAGATCCAAACTGTAGTGGAGTTCCTCCATCAGCCCAGGCCAGGGACCCTGTATGTGAGGGTGCCCCAAATGGAGCTCCCAAGGCAGGAGCCTAGGGCTTGGGGTGGGCAGGTGTGGCCATCTGTGACCCTCACCCTCCCACCCACAGTTCCAGGTCTTCACCATCCAGGATGCGGACCGCATTGCAGGCATGCAGAGCATTTTCCGGAAGTCCAAGAGCCTGGGCAGCATGGACAGCCGGGCTGCAGAGGATGGGCTTCTCCTGGAGAGTGGTGGTGGGGCCTCTGGAGCCCTGGGGGTGCCGCAGGCTGTATAGGGGATAGCAGGAGCAGTCTGAGTGCACCAGCCCCATCCACCAGTGGAGGACCTGGGATGAAGGGGTATGTGCCTCCTGGGACCCAGGGTGACCCACTGCATGACTCTGGCAGGAAGACTGAGTCTTTGGGGACCAGCCTGGAGGGTTTATCCAGCCCATATGTGCAAGGCCACTCCTTGGTGATTAAATATCTGGCTCCCGGGCAACTGGCTCCCAGGCAAACTGACGTCTGGTCCGCACAGGGAGGCAGAGGCCCCTGGTGCTGTTGCCAAGCGGAAACACAGAGACCTGCAGGTGGGAGGGGACGAGCTCCCTTGCTGTGTGCTCTAGACCGGCCCCTCCTTAGGTGCCCTACATCCTGGCTCCAAGAGGAACTGAAGCCAGCAGAGGGGACCCATCCACAGCCCCTACAGCCAACCTGAGCCATCTGCCCCCTGCTGGCCCTGCTGCCTCCACTTTTTATGGCTGGGTACCTGCTCCTGGCGCCTGGCATGCCCCGTCCCATCTGCTCCCACTGCCCCCACCCCCATGCCTTCCATCCACTCTGCAGCTGCTTGCAGCCAGTGAGCTCCCCAGCTCTGCCCAGGCGACCATGCCTCCTCCGTCCTGTTCTTACCTTGGTGTCCGAGCCACAGCCAGCGCCCTGGGCACCAGGGAGAGAACCTGGGTTCCCTCAGCCAGTGCAGACCACACTCTCCCCTACCCATGTCCTCAGGACCAGTGGCCACATGTGACAGGAGCTATATAACACAAGCAAGTGCCTGGGGCCAGAGCTGGCACTCACACAAGGGACATAAATGAAGTGTCCAGGAGACAGAATTGGGTCCACATCTGCTTCATGGGGGACCTGGAATCCAGGTCCCTGTGAGGAGCTGGGAGCCTGGTGTGAGTCAGAGTGGCCCTGCTTAGGGAAAGGCAAGGTGTTATGGGGAAGGGCCTGGGCATGTGTGGAAGCTACTGCTGTCCCACAGCCGAAAGGACCCAGACTATTGCGCCTGGCGCAGGAGTGGAGCTGCGTGTCCCCACTGAGACACCGGAAAGGGTCAGCAAAAGCCCAGCGCTGGGGATGACAAGGCTCAGCTGAGGTCCTGGGTGAGACAAATGAAGCACAGGTGACACAGGACAGCAGTCTCAGGTGATGTTGCTAGGTCGCAACAATCCCAAGCAAATTCCTTCCAAGACTTTAGAGAAGAGGAGCAGAAGAGCCCGGGCAGCAGAATCCAGGGCCAGGCAAGGGTCCTCTCAGCACTGGGTCACCAGGGCCAGGGCTGTGGGATGTGCACTCACCTTCTGCTGTGGTAGCGTGGCCCAAATCCTCCGCCTCTCGATCCTCTGTACTGCATTTTACCACCCAGCTGGGATCGATACTGGGCAGGTTTTATCACTGCCCACCCTTCACTCCTCCCCGGCATGGGCATCAGGCCTCCTGCCACCTGCAGCGTCTGCCTAGCAGCACAAGCCCTAGACTCAGTACCCTGCTTCCACCTGAGGCCTCCCGTCCCACACAGTTCCATGGTCCAGGGCACAGTGCCTGCTGTGTGTGGGAGATGCATGCATTTCCCTCTGAATACCTGGGGTCTTCTGTGAGCTGGGCTGAGCTTTTTGGGCCCACTTAGGGCCTTGCAAGATGCAATCATGGTGCCATCCATGCCCATGAGGTGGCTCTCATGCATCCCTGGCAAACCTCGCCTGGCACCGAGGCCTGAAAAGAGGCGTGTTGTCCATGGCAGGGATGAGGTCTGCCCAGAAAGCAGCATCTGTGGGTGCTGTGTTTTGTAGGGCTTAGGCCCAGGCTGGGGACACCAGTACCCGGTCTTCTACAGCTCTTGTGACATGGGGGTTTTGGGGGACAGTGTCAGTGCAACCATCAGCACTGGGGCCATGAGCAGGGTCCATGCAGATCGGACCGGCATGTGGTGGTGGGGTCTGGTCAAGAGGAGAGTGGCTGGGTCTTCCTGTCATCCCCATTGGTGACTACGCCACATGCTCGGCTCACACACATGGCCTTGGGATTCTCAAGAACCAGAGAGGATACTGGAGCCCATGTCGGGCCCACAGCGGCTTGCTCTGGAGCACCCATCCTGACCTTCACAAGAAACAGTGCTGCTTGAGAGTCTCAGGCAGAGAAACTGTCACACAACTGTTTGTGCAGCCAATCGCTGGCAGGACATGCAGGCCCTGCGGATTGTCATGGGGGCTGAGGCTGCTTCACAGGGTGAGATGGCCACAGGCCATACAGCTGCAGGGGACACAGGCAGAGCTGGGATGGGGCGGGGAGTGCAGTCTTGGTCACGCTCAGAAGTGAGATAGGAAAAGCAGATGGAAAAGAGACCAGGAAGTGTGCAAGGTACAGACACCAAGGGACACTACCAGAGGGACACTATCGCCGTTCCACCTGCCCCCGCCGCAGCAAAGCTGCCGGTGTGGTAAAGGCTGCCGAGCAGGACCCACAAAGCCGGGTCCGGGTGCCTTTACCCAAGATCGAGCTCACATACAAAGTCATTTCTAACCTTCACAGATACAAATTAGAAACAAAAAATACTAACATATTTAGACTGGCCCCCAGATATTTGGAAAAAGCATGGGTCTAAATAATCTATGGTTTGGAAAAGAAATCACAAAAAAACAATGAAATATTTTTACCAAAAAAATAATGACAACACTGCCTATCAAAACCTGGGAGGTGTAGCAAAGGCAGTGCTTGGGGGGGTACTTTTTTAGATATAAACACTCATATTACAAAATAAGAGCTGTTTAAATTCAGTTATCTCGGGGCCTGGGGATTTAGCTCAGTGGCTTAAGTGCCTGCCTGGCAAGCGCAAGGTCATGAGTTCGATCTCTGGCACCAGAAAATAATAAATAAATAAATAAATTCAGTTATCTCAAGGCTGGGAATTGATGCATCCCTATAATTCCAGCTCTCTTGGAGGCTGATGCAGGAGGATCTCAAGTTCAAGATAACCTGGGCAATTTAGTGATTTAGAGAGATTTACACCCTGTCTCAGCATGAGGTTGGGAAAGCTGCTCAATGTGAAGGCCCTAGGTTCAATCCCTTATACTAAAAATGAAAAAAAAAAAAAAAAAAAAGGATACAGTGTCTTAGCTTTCTCTGTCAGAGCTAAAGAAGAGAAAACTCAGATGTGGGCTGTCATTACGTGTCAATTATAAATATAAGAAACTTGAAATGGAGCAAATTAAAAACAAAAGAAGTCAAAGGGGATAATAAAATTAGAGTAACAACTGAGAGAGAACAAACAACAGAGAAGAACAATGCGATGGATACTGGCTTTCTGAGCAGACCACAGCACGCCTGGTCAGGACACAGCGAGAAGAGGCCACCGCACGGAGCAGACGAGGGAGTCACTGGAGACCCCAGGTGTCGAAGACAGCAAAGGGCATCGTGAGCTGCATCACACAACACTAATAACCTCCAGGAAAACCGAACACACCCAGGGCAACACAAGTGATCAAAACAGGCACAAAGAGAAAGGCAGGAGACACACCTGTTAAGAACTACGGACTCACTTAAAAAAAATCCTTCTTTCTTTTTAATTTTTTAAAAAATTTTGAGACAGGGTCTTGCTTTGTAGTCCAGGCTGGTCTTGAACTCACTTCGAAGCTCAGGTTGGCCTTGAACTTGCAGCCACCCTCCTGCCTCAGCCTTCCAAGCCTTGGGATCACAGGTGTGCACCACAATGCCTGGTTTAAATAATTCTTTCTGTAGAGAAAACTCGTAGGCTTCTATCAAACACTTGAAGGGACGGAAAAGGTCTGCATTCTAGATGAAAGTTGACTGGGAAAAGGTGCCCAGTTATTTCATGAGACCAGCGTAACCTCTGCCCCCACACCTGATGGGGACATGGCTGGAAACCAGGGATCTGGGGAAACAGCGCCAGTGATGACGGTGGGCTGTGAGGGGCGCTCTGCAGACCACACAGCCATGCCACTGATGATCCTTATCTACAGCTGGGAGCTCGTTGGAGCCGACAGTGAGGCCTCCACTGGCACCCGAAGTGGATTCCACGTGTGCCCTGAACCCACGCCCTTCTCCGGGACCATGAGGCTCTGCCCATGGCTCCAGCCCCGTACGGCATTTGTGCTAGTGTGGTGAGAAGAGAGAGATAAGGTGGCGGTGGCATTGAAAAAGAGGAAGCAGAAGGCTCACTAGCATCAAAGCAGGCCAGAGGGACTGGGCAAAAGCCTCCTGACATAAATCGGAGACTGAAAAATGACCACAGCGTGTTCCAAACACACATCAGGAAACCAGAGTTTAAAATGCCTAAGGAAAGATAAATGAGTCGTTTGTAGGGAAATGGAGGCACCTTGAGCCCATAAAGTTAAGTGAAGAAAATCAGACACACAAACTTAAATATCTGATTCCTTATATGAGAAATCCAGTGTCTAAATAAGCAGCAGAAGAGCTGGGCACGGTGGTGCATGCCTGTAATCCCTGCTCTTGGGAGGCTGAGGCAGGAGGTTTGTTGTGAGTTTGAGATCAGCCTGAGTTACAAAGTGAGCTCAAGGCCAACCTGAACTGCATAGCAAGACTCTGTCTCAGAAAGATAAACATAGAGCAAAATAAGAGATAGGTAACAGGAAATAGGGAAATGGATATTTCTCAAAGTGGGAGAGGATAGAGAGACGGAGGGAGGGGAGGCGAAAGAGATGAAGAGGAAGTGAGATGTGTGAGCTCCTCATGCCGAATCCTCCCGAGGGCTGCAATTCTATGCACTACACACGGTCACTGACAAAAAATAAAAGTTACACAATCAAAAATGTTAGCCGTCTGGTAATAAGCCTAGGCAAAGTCCCATGTGAGATCATTAGACTGAAAACTAGAAAAATTGGTTTGAGTAATTTAAAAGACCTAGATTAAGGCCACGAATTAGAATTTCTACTCTCTTGATGATTTCACTGTCCCTGACCTGATCTACTGAAATTTCAGCAGGCTTATGTAGAGAAATGGACAAGAGGAGCCCCAGGAACATCAGGGATCTGGGAACAGAAGTGTCTCTATGAGAGACAGCAAAAGACCTAAGAGGATAGTGAGAGGTGCAGCCACAGTGCGGACACCCAAGCGCGCAGGTGGCGGTCAGTGCTCTGGGATGCTACGGATTCCAGCGGATCTGGCCCTGCCTGATCCTCATGGACTGGCCCCAGGGCTGGAGACATCAGGGTCAGAAAGAGGGAAACGGTGATGAGCCGCTCTGTGGAATAAGCTTCCTAAAGAAGGAGGAGGAGCCTCCAGCTGCAGGAAGCAGGCAGGAGCTGGAGACTTGACTGCAGCTGGGAGCGTGGATCCACGGAGACAGAAATGCAAGTGGCATCGGAGCAACACTGGCACAGAGGGAGGCACAGGAAGGGCCAGCAGCACATGCACAGGCCGGGCACCACTCACAATGGGAAACGAGAATTCCTGTGAGAGCTGGCTCCACACCCATAAGAATGGGAGGGGCCGGGCAAGGTGGAAGGTGGCACTGTCAGATCCTCAGGGCTCAGGGCCGTTGCTAAAGTGGAGCCGTGCTTTGACCTGAAGTCCTATTCCCTGTCACTACCAAGATACCAGAGTGTGCAGCCTTGGGTCAGGCGGGGTCTTCTCAGTCCTGTTCCCCATGGACTCCCCTGCATCCCAGCGTCCTGCCATGCCAGAGGAGGCCACACTCAGCAATGGGACAAATCAGCCCAACAACAGGCACGGGGATCAAAAGCACACGGGAACCAGCCCAGACCCAGAAGCGAACAAGCCACATATCTGCAAAGCCGTCCATGGAGGATGCTAGGAGGATCAGAGTCGGAGGCCTCTGCCCAGGCTTCCAGCACCCCCCTTTACCACAGGAACAAGCACTGCCATCCTAAAAACTACACCTGAAGTGTGTAGCACTCGGCTGTGAGCACTCTGACATGCAGATGTGTGCATGCTGCCTCAGCATCTACTGGTGGGGACCAAAGTGAGACCGTACCGCTCTGCACAAGGGTGTCACTCAGGGCCACTGAGCTCCTCTATCCCTCCTGAGACCCCTCCCATTTTCCCAACTCCCTGCTATCCTCCCAGGGCACTTCAGGTCACAATATCATGGTGTCAGTGGCTTCTGCCTGCCCAGGGCCCAATCCCTACCTTGCTGGGGACAGGGACAGAGCCAGGCTAAGCCTCATCCTCACGGGACACCTGCCTGGGCCGGGGGAATCCCTGTCCTGCCTTCCTCCCTCAGGAGGACTGGGGCTCATGGGTACAGCCTCAGTGGTGCTGGGTGGGTCATGGGACCAGAGATGAGGGTGAGGTCAAAGGAACAAGCAGAGCAGGTGTGGGCCTGGCTGGGTGCTGAAGACCTTGGCATCCTGGGGCTACCTGAAGCCACTGGTGAAGGCATGAGGATGTGTGTCAGGGTGTGACATCCGGCCCAGGCTCCAGGCCAGGGGCTATCCTCCGGCCACATGGGAGATGCCGAGGGCAGACAGTGTCCTGCCAGGCTCTACCACAGCACAGATGCTGGCCAGCACTTTATTGATGTTCCCTGAAGCCAGTGGCTGGGTGATCCCAATGGAAAGTACAGTGAATCCCTTCTCTAGCAGTCCCGCAGGAAGGGGGCAGCATCGAGCACAGCTCTCCTGGCCTCAGCCTGGTGACACACAGCCTGCAGTCCCTTTGCAGCCCAGCCCAGGGTAGGGGTGGGGGTGTGGTAGCCGTATTACAGCCTGTGACGGGGGCAGCGCTGCAGGGCCTCCTTCAGGGCCTGGGCCAGGCGGTCCACGTTCTCCCGGCTGGCATTACAGCCCATCAGGCCGATCCGCAGCACCTGGTGGGCACAAGCAGGCAGATGCTGGGGAGCCATGAGCCTAAGCTAAGCGTGCCCTCACTATGGCACAGAGCTGGAGAAGGCCAGCCCAGTGGGCAGAGAAGGTCTCTCAGCATGGCTGGCCTGATAGAGTCTGTTGGACACAGGCCTGAGGTTTCCCAGAGCCCGAGGGGATGGGAGGAAGCCCATTCCAAGTGGGCAGGAAAGGCCCTCTGGGGACTCCCCCCAAGAAAAGGGGCTGCACTGCTGTGTCCTGCCCAGTGCTCCTGCTCTCAGAGAGGGATGTCTGCAAGGCTGGCCCTGCTGTCCCGAGTCCTCCATGTTCTCACCTTCCCCAGGGAAGGTCCAAGCCCACCCGAGATCTCAATGCTGAAGGAGTCCATGACGTAGTCCACGATGTCCCTCCAGTTGTAGCCAGCGGGCACAGCCACGGTGGTGACTGTAGGTAGACGGCTGGCCTGTGGGAAGTGTGCCACTCAGTTGTATAGCCAAACATAGCCTGCATGTCCTTCTTGATGGCTGTCCCCAGGCCCAACCTAACCTGACTACCCTGGAGAGTGGAGTGGCCAAACAGTTCTGGGATGGGTGCTGGAGCAACTAAAGGCTTGGGGACCCTGCAGTCCTTGCTTGGGCAGGTCATGCCCCCTCAGGGCATGTGGCCTCGGACATCAGCACTTTGTCCCTTGGTGGCTCTGGCCACCCCAGGAGCATGTGCCCCAGAAAGGCCACCCATTGCTGTGTGTGCATGTGCCGCCAGGGTAGGGACATGTCCCTCAGCCTCCTGCCCCTCCTCACCGGGTCCCTCACGAAGAGCTGCAGGCCCAGGCCCTGCAGACGGCTGTGCAGGTGCTCCATGGCCTCACGGTGCTGCCGCCAGCTACTCTCCAGGCCCTGTGGGGAGAGGGGACACTGAGTGGGCAGGGACTGGGAGTGTGCGGCAGCTGCAGGCCACGGGAGCCGCCGTCTGGGATGTGGCCAGTGTGAGGCCTAGAGCTGGGTACCTCGTGGGTGCAGAATGACAGAGGGAAGTGGGTGCAGCCTGTGAGGAGGCAGAGGGTGAACCGCAGGAGGTGGGAGTGGGGAGGGCCAGGCTGGGTTTGAGCAGGCTTACTTCCTGTCAGGGACAATGGTTCCACTCCTGGCTCCCACAACCTCGAAGAGCTCATTCCTCCCTGGCCCTGGCCAGCCCAAGCCTCTCGGTGGCCCCAGGCCCCGTCTCACCCATCAGTGACTGCTGTCCACTCTACCATGGCTCCTGTCTTTCCAACGCAATGGGCTTCACCATCAGCATCTACTGGAATCCCCAGGGCCTGAGCCTCCCCAGGATCCTTCCCTTCTGGCCTCTTCCTTCTCTTACCAGCTCAGCCCTGGTCCTCAGCCCCCAGGGACAAACACACAGTGTGGGTGACTGCCCATGCATGGACACCTCGTCTCCAATCTGCCCTGTGGCAGCAGCTTGATGAGGGTACACGGGAGGGCAACAGTGGCCATAGCCAAGGGCCTTTCTGGTCCTTCCTAGCCTCCGGGCTGTGGCTGGCAGTGGCCATCTTGGGCCATCAGGACCCAGAGGAAAGCGGGCAATGCTTCGTCACCTTTCCTATCCTATGTCCTGTAGAGCCTGTGACCTGCAGTCACATGTGGCCTTCTGTGTCCTGAAGGTGATTCATCTTGGGACAATGCCCTCACCCTGGTCACACCCAGCTTCCTCAGCCTGGCTCTGGCCACCCTGGCAGCCACACATGCCCCAAGAATGTCACCCATCCCTGCCATGGTGGGGCAGCAGGCTTCGGAGGTGGTGGTCAACGCTTACAGCTTGAGACAGCTGTAGAAAGCCAGCTGGACCTTCATGCTGTCCCTGCATTGGCCCTGCAGTGCCCACAGCATGTCCTGTCATGATAAGGCCAGAGGTACTTGACTGATACACCATGATCATGGACTGCCTAACTCTGGCCATGGCCTGGCCAGCGTCTGCCAGCCCTGTGGCTCAGTCCACAGCACCTCGCTCCCTCTCCCCAGCAGCTCAGGTTTCCTGGGAGTCATGCCTGCCTGGGCCTCCAACCCTGCCTGTCCAGGCCCCAGGCCCTGTGCTCCTTGCATCGCCCCACACAGTAGACCCTCTCAGGCAGCGCCCTTGTCTCTGCTCCATCCCAAGCCCCGCCACTCCGGGCAGTGGGAATGTAGGTGGGGACGGCGCCATAGCCTCTGGTCCTCACACACTACCACTGGCCCTCCACCCACCTGCTCCGAGATGAGTGCCAGGCTCTCCCTCAGGGTGAACAAGCCAATGATGGGCGTGGTGTGATGGTACCTGTGGCAGCAGAGGCCCAGCTCATGCCCCTGCCCAGCGCCAGACCTGCAGTACAGCCCCCTCCCAGCACCAATCAGAGCTGTTGGTGGCAGCGGATAGCAGGACGGGAGGGGCCCTGACGTGGCTGTCACCTCTTCACTGAGGGACAGCACTTTAACAAGGGGCTAAGGCCAGGGTGGCTAACGGGGCCCCTGTTCCCCTCTCCTTCTGAGAGGGAAAACTGAGGCCTGGGAAGGGAGGACGTAGCAGGGCAGGACCTCAGCCCCTGGGGGAATGGGGCTCAAAGAAAAGCTGACAGGGTCTCCACGGCAGTGAGACCCAGGGCCCCTCATCGATGCATCTGGGCCTCGTGGGAGCACAGGTGGAAGGCAAGGGTCCAAGGCTGCGCATAGGACAGTGAGATGGCCATGGACCATGGAGGTCACCTACCCCAGCACTCCAGTACCCCGGCACCCCAGCACCCCAGCACCCCAGCACCCCAGCATCCCAGCACCCCAGCCCAGGCCCCAGCCCCACCCAGCCCTTACATCCTGGGCTTGTCGTCACAGCCCCAGAGGTTGGCCAGCAATGTAATGTCCATGAGGAAAGAGAAGGGCTTCGTCTTGCGAGAGTAGACCTTGTGCCTGATGGGAGAGACCTGAGAGCCACCCTGTCCTGGATGTGGGCAGGGCCTGTCCCTTTTCCTGCCTAGAGGACCCTGCAGGCCCAAGCAGGTGGAATCTCCAGGCTCTTGCTTTCCCCACCCCCTCCCACACTGTCACCTGAGGGTGATGTGACACTCCCTCATAGACCTGTGGGGATGCTGCTCAGGCAGCTCCAACCTTCCCAGAAAAGGGGAGACGAGGCCCCTTCCTGGGCAGGAGCCTCATAGCCACTGCCCCAGCTCCACCCTCTGCCACATGGCCTCTGGGCCCTGACACCACCCCCTGGAAATGTCTAATTGTCTCAGTCTGGAGGGCAAGTGCAGCGGGGCTCCCCAGCTCCAGGCCAGACCCCCTCCTCCCAGACCCTGCAGCCCATGGGCGCCTGATCCCTGGTGTCCAATGCAGGAGTCCTGACCCCACCTCAAGTCCCCAAGTCCCACAGACACCCCTGGGGCCCAGCTGTGGCCAGATGGTGACCACCTGCTGAGCCCATGCCCCATTTCCTGGGACCAGGTCCTGGCTCAGGTGTGGATCAGGGCATGAGGTGGTTAGCAGTGGGGCACAGTGCAGGGAGGGCCACTCTGGTCAGGCCACAGCCCAGGCCGGACCAGGCTGGACCTGAGTGGGACTGCAGGTCACTCACTTGGCCCTGTCGCTGAAGGAGAGGAGAGAGGTGCCCGGGGGGCCGTTGAGGACCTTCTGGGAGCCAGAATACAGGGCATCAATGCCTGGTGAAGCACAGACTCTGGTTGGGTTTGGCCCTGTCCAGCCCCATGTGTGTCCGGTAGGGCAGGGTGAGGAGCAGAATGGGGTCCTGGATTCCAATCTCACCAGAGCCTCTGAGTGGAGCACCCCACCCCGGTCTGTGTGGCATCTGGAGACAGTGCTGCCAGCCCTGCCTGGGGTGGACAGGGCCCCTCCCCACTCTCCTGCAGCTCCTGGCCTTCTCAACACCCCCCAGGATCTGGTCCCACCCCGGTGCCATCTGTGTTCCCAGGGCTTCCTTAGGGTTGGGTGACCTGGAGGGGCTGACTGAGGTACTCAGCCTCGGGCATTTAACTACAGTAATGGAAACTGAACATGTGAACCCAGCTAGGGGCTGGTGCTGCTGGCCAGTAGGGACAGCTGGAGCCAGAGAGGTAGGTGGTAGCTGTGGGGCACACTTGTACCTTGATGGTCCATGAAGATGGGGACCCCGCCCAGGGATGCCACAGCATCCACCAGCAGCAGGCACTGGTACCTGGAGGGGACATGGGGAAGAGGGCAGTGGGTAAAGCAGGACAGGGCTTCTGCAGGGGCCATAGGAAGGGCAGCAGAGGGTGTCAGGACACAGACTGGTCCTCTGCAAGGTTCCCATGGGGTGTACTTGAGGGGCAGCTGGGGCAGTGGAGCACAAGGTCAGGCTGTCCTCTGCCAACAGCTGCCCATCCTGGCTGCTGGGCTGGAGGCACAGAGTAGAGAGGACAGAGGCCAGGCAACCATGAGGCCACCTCTATACCCCAGGTTTTCAGTAACACAGCTGGGTCCTATGCTTGCTGTGATGGGCAGTGCGAAAGCTACTGAGCGTAGGTTAGGGTAGTGAGTTTTATTTTCAGGCAGGATGCAGGTGGGGGAGGCTGGAAGTGGGAGGGGAGGGATCCCCAGGGTGCAGGCCATGGGTAGCACCAGCCCTCCACAGTCATGGGCATCCCTGCCACAGGGCCTTTGCTCCTGCTGCAGCCCCTGGGCTGTCCTCAGTGTGATGAGCCAGCTAGATTCCCTCCAGACGGTGCATGGAGGGCCCAAGAGGTACTTAGGCAGGACAGGGAGCCTAACTGGGCAGGGGCAGCTGGGCCACCTGCTATTCTGGGCAAGTGGGACTGCCAGCACCCACAGCACCCCCACAGGGCTCGGGGACAGCCCACCTGTGACACAGCTCCCCATAGCCATCCAAGGGCTGCAGCACCCCGGTGGAGGACTCCCCCTGGGTCAGAAACAGCAGCACCGGCTTGTGCTGGGCCAAGCCCTGCGGGCAGAGGAGATGGCTGTGGACAGAGTCCATGGGCTTCCAGGGGAGGAAAGGTCATCACCTACATTCCTCTCCCTCCCCTGGATCTGGGCAAAGAGGACTTTGAGCCTGGAAATCAGGCCCCAACCGCTATCCCGCTGTGGACTGCAGGAAGCAGGCAGGGCTGGTGGCTGGGGGTCAGGCACAGGTCCACCTCCTGGCCTTCAGACTCGGCCTCCTGACTGCAGCTAGCCCTTCCCTTTGGGCTGTCCTGACTGTTTCCCCACCAGACAGCACCAGGCTTCCCACCCATTCTCAGGAGTCTGAGTGTCTCCTGTGGCTGGTCCTGGTCATTAGAAAGGGCAGAAGACCGGCCACTGCCCCAGCCCATTGGCCTCGATGCCTGCACCTCCCTCCCCCAGCTCTGGGTCAGCACGCCTCCTACCTCTTCCACCTCCTGCAGTGTGTAGTAGCTTCCAGGCTCCTTGATCATGGCGTGCACATGGGCTCCTGTATGTGGAGGCAGCACTGAGCAGCACCCGAGGCAGGGATGGCTCTGAGGACCAGGGATCAGGTACCCAGGGCTGAGCCAGTGGATGAGCAGAATGGGTCCCCCAGAGCCCAGGGAGCCGGGCGTCCCATCAGAAGAGTGGTGAGCATTGTGCAGTCAGCCTTCGGTCTCCCCATGCCCATGGCCACTCATGGGGAGCCGTGTCTGGTGCCCCAGAGGGGGCAAAAGGGGTGGCCAAGGGCACAGGGCTAGGGTCAAGCCCCCCCTGCCCTCTCCCAGAGCCCTGCATCCTGTGTGCTGCCAGACCAGAGTCCTGGTGGGGGACGGCTTGGCTAGGCCGTGTCCCCTCTGGTCTTTACTGCAACCCAACCCTGGCCCCCCTTAGACACAGCACACATGGGCCAGCAGGGACTGAGAGGAGCCAGCACCCCCTGGGGCTGTCCAGCTCCTTCCCAAGTTTCCAGGCCATGGCCTGGCTTGTCCTGGGCCCACTGTCCGCTCCTGCTCTGCACAGCCTTGGGAGAGCCAGCTGTCCCCACAGGGGCCCAGGGGAAGGCTGTTTCTGAGACTGGGGAGGATTCAGCCCTGAAAGCCCATCCTGTCACAGAGCAGAACAATGAATGCCCAGGGGCTGCGAGGGCGGCAGGGGTTCAGACCAAGAGACCAGTCTGTCCAGCCACTCCAGATCTGGGGGGCCAGGGAATCCACTGCACGGCTGCCCCTCAGGGCCCATGGCTGCATGGTGAGCGAGTACTGCAGGGCCAGTGAAGCCAGGGCTACCCCTGCTGCCCTCCTGCCTCCCCCTTACCGATCCGCTCCCCAATCTCTGCAGCCCGTCTGCCCCACTCGCCGTTGGCCCCAACCAGGAAGGAGTCCCCTGGCTCCAGGAGATTGAACAGGGCCACCTCTAGGGCGCAGTGTCCAGAGCCGCTGATGGCCAGCGTGAGCGGGTTCCTGGTCTGGAAGACGTACTGGATGCCCTTCTTGATCTCGTCCATGACCTGGGGTAGCAGGCACATGGGTTGCACCACTGCTCTGTCCTCTCCTATGTGGGCAAGGAGGGGGTTCACAGACTCCCCTCTCCCCCAGTGGTGGCTGCTACCTGGAATGTCTCCTTGTGCATGTGCCCGATCATCTGCAGCCCGCCAGCCGCCTGGACACGGGGAGCCAGGTTGGAGGGGCCAGGGCCCAGCAGGAGCCGGTTGGGGATGGAGAGCGGCTTGAGCAGGGCCTCTGGCGGGGCCACACACAGCTGGTAGGAGGCCATGGTCTGTGCCCAGCCTGCCACCCGGGGCCTCAGGGCAGGACTGACCTTGGCCAGTGCCCGGAAAATCTCCCAGGTGGCCCTATGCAAATCACAGGGGCGAGGCTGATCAATGTGCTGCTGCTGGCCCCAGTCTCATGCCTCTGCCACTGTTATTCGAACTTTTAGCACCATTTGTCCTGCTGTCAAGACCGGCAGCCTGGGAGCTGAACCCTGGTGGGCAGGGGACTCATAGGAGCTGGGCTCGGAGTGCAGATCGGTGCCCATAGCCCCAGGACACCCAGCCAAATGGATCCTGCTTAGTCAGGGGTCTGAAAACTCACTGCAGAGGGTCAGAGAGTGATCTCTTGCCCTGTCTGTGTGGCTGCCAGTGCAGTCTGGGAGCTGGGTGCCAATAAAACAAGCAGGAGCAGCCAGGCCAGTGTGCATCGTGCTGACCATACTGGTTGCTGGGGCTCCCTCGAGCAAGCGTGCATGCACTGTGTGTGTGGACATCCCATTCACACACACACCAAGTCACACAAAGCTGTCCAATCCTGTGAGAGGAGTTAGCACCTTAGTTCCTCCTTGTCTTGTTTCTTCTCCTTCATTCATTGCCGAGCTTCTCTGAGGGGAATAAACAGCTCTGAATGGCAGGGAGTGGCACCCAGGCTCGTGGCAGCAGCACAGACAGATGTGACAGACACTGGAGCCCCAGAAGAGCACTAAGTGGCATGGCTGAAAAACCATGTCCAGGCCTCACGGGAAAAGTGGAGCCTGCGAGCCGGTCCAAGAGCCCAGAGCTGGGCAGCGTGCACAGTGATGGACTTTGCCAAGGGTGCAAGGTAGTAGCCAGGCCTGGTGGGGCTCTGGGCCAAGTCCGTCACCCAACAGGCTCATGTGGAAGCCTTAAGGCCTCTGAGTGCAACTGCACTGGGGGCCAGGCCCTTTAAAGAGGTGATTAAGATTAAACAGGGTCCCACAGGTGGGTGTGGGGTGAAGCGATCAGGATGCAGGCGCTGGTTGAGGACACAGTGAGACAAGTGTCTACAAGCAGCCAAGAACAGCCTCAGAGAAGCCAGTCCTGCTGCACCAGCAGGACTGTGGGAGATGCAAGTTCCCAGCCAGGAGCAGCAAGGTACCAGGGCAAAGAGGGGGTACATGGTATCCAGAATGCACTCAGGAGGTAGAGGCTCATGAGGGAGGACACTGTCTGCTGCTGTCTGCTCCCAGCCTAGCTCTGTGCTCAGGGCTGCTAGGCATCCACCGCTTCCCACAGGGTTTGGTTAGGGCCTCTTTGGCAGCTGGAGGGGGTGGGTGGGAAGACCGACGTCCTCCACTGCATCGTTCCCAGTGTCCCAGCACAGGTGCTGGTTGATTCGGTCCCTGCCACTGGCTTCCCTTTTCTGTGAAGTGAGGATTTGAGGACCCAGTGGGTGGACCACTCAGATGGTTCGGGAACACCCAATGTGCACATTAATGGTCATTCTCCAGAACACAAATAAGAGCCAGGACTCCGTCCCAGTCTGTGAGTGGGACCTGCCCAGCCAGGTAGACCCACTGTGGAGAGGTAAGTGGGGGTCTATTTAGGGCTGCACACACTGGACTGGCAGACCCACCAGAGCGGCCTCCTTGGCCACACATGCTCTCCCATCCCATCTTTGTTAGCCCTGGGACTCCCAGAAGGAGGTACCACCCAGACCTGTCCCTGCCCCAGAATGGCTTCTCCTGTGCGGGGGCAGTGCACTCCCTCAGGCAGGCCACCCTGCCCCATTCCCTGTCTCTGCCTTGCCTGCTTCTGTTCTGGTACCTGGAGGGCAGAATCCCTAGCACCTGGCATTTAGGGTCTGCAGAGATGAGTGGCCCAAGGTCCACTGATCTCCAGGGGCCAATCTGCCTGGAGGGTTTGGCAGTGTGCAGCAGTACTGTCTTTCTTGCCTTAATGCTGTGCCTGGCTGGCAATCTGTCCTGTCTTTGTCCCTGGAGAGTCCTAGGATGCTCTGCCTAGATGATAATGGCCCCTGGTAGCAAGTATCTGATGACTCCCATCTACAGTGGCCAGGGAAGCCAGGGTTCCCTGACACCCACAGGACAGAGGTTCAGTGTTGGAGCCTGAAGTTGTCTATCATCTGGCTCAACACTTGTGCTGAAGCCCATCCTTGGCAGGCAGGAGCCTCTGGCCTGGCTGCAGGAGCTGTCTCTGGGGAAACAGCGACACCCAGTGGCCGCATGGAGGCCACACTGTGTGTTGTGTGTCCGCCTCCTCCTGCCACCACCCCGCAGTAGGGCACAGTGACTTCCCTGAAGGCTAACGTGACCAGGCAGGGTGCACCAGGTGGAGGAGGGGGTTACGGAAGATCCAGACAGACTGGGCCCACTCCAGGCCTGCCCAGGGCGGTCTGGCCACAGATGTAGGAATGGAGCCTGAAGAATGGATGAGAAGGGGCTGGGGATTTAGCTCAGCAACATAAGCGCCTGCTTTCAAGCAGGCAGTCGTGAGTTCGATCCCTGGTACCAATAAAAAAAGACAAAAAAAAAAAAAAAAAGAATGGATGAGAAAACAGGAAGCTGGGTGCACCCCCTCTGATCTTGGGGGCAGTGACAGGTGAAGGGAGAGGGTAATGAGGCCTCACTCTGGCACTGGCCTGACCAACAGGAGCATTCTGAGCAAAGAGAGTGGGCAGAGAGGCACTGGGTGCCAGGCCAGGGAGCTGCAGAGGTTGACACTCCTGGGACTGGGGGCACAGCACAGAGTGGGCACGGAGGGCAAGAGGGCAGGCTCTGACCCCAAAGCTGCGGCTGCCCTCGGCGCAGCTTGATATTCCTGCCTATGAGCTTTCACTTCCCGCCAGGAGCCTCCTGCTGGAGGGAAGGAGGTGGGAGGGAGTTCCTCCTTCCCCAAGAGCTCAGAGCCTGAGGCCCCTCCTGACTCTGTGTGTGTGTACTTGTGCCTGTGCCTGTGCCTACCTGCCTGCCTGTGCCCTCAAGAAGCCTTCCATATCCCGCCCAGGCCCACCTGTTTTGCTGTTCCCCAGACAATCAGGTCCCTAAAGCCAGAGAATGATGACGTTTAGGGGTGGGACCCCGGGATGGAGAGAGGCCGAAGCCTTCAGCAGTGGCTCCTCTACAGCAGCAGGTCAGCTTCACCCAGATCTTGAACTTCCAGCCTCCAGAGCCACAAACCACAGCAACCTTTACGATTAACCCAGTTGTAGCTGTCAGTCACAGCAATGGGAAATGGACTAAGGCTAAAAGCCCCAGGGGTCATGTCCCCTTCCCACTGCTGCATATGGGCGGAGCAGTGGGCTGAGGTCTTGAGCTCTGGCTGACCTCTTCTGAGACACAGTGTCCCTGAGGGACACTGTCCCTTGGGAGCTGCTGGAGCCCTGAGATGGCAGATGGCCCAGAGGCGGCCATGAGGCAGACAGGAAGCTGATTCTTGCTGGCCTGGCTGAGGCCAAGGGTCCCTGAGAGCCCCAGGAGAAAGCAGGGCCCCAGCCTTGCCAGGTCCATGTGGGAAGAGGCAAACCATAAATCCCAGGTTGGAAGTGGGGTTCTGGGGTATTCTGGGCTGGTCTCAAGGAGCCCTGTACTCAGCTCCACAGACCATGGCTCAGCATTTTGCAGAGCAGCCCAGAGAGAGCTGCAAACCTCAATGTCATCGACCCTGGAGTGGCCGCCCTCACACTTCCACCTGGGGAGCAAGTGAAATGGGGAATTCAACCCCAAGTGCCTTCCTCCAAGGTCAACCTGTCTTCTGCCAAGATCCAAGAAAAGATTCGATTCCAGCCACCTCTGCTGCCAATTTCATTCTGCAATGTCATCTTCTGACCATCAGGCTGAATCACACCCATCACACAACATTATCCGAGTCTCTGCTGGACCTCCAGAGGCAGAAAAGGACTTCAGAGAGGCTGGCTCTAAAAAGCTCTCCAGTTTACACACAGGGAAACAGAGGTTGGAGAGTGGTCTACCCAGAATCACATAGCTAGTGTCAGGCAGGGATGGGACCCAAGGTGCCCCCTCATTAGGGGAGGGTTCCCGCTGTGGGCATCAGGGAAAGTGCTCTCTAGTGTCCCACCATCAGAAGGTGCTGATCAGAGACTGGAGCCAGCCCCTCTATGTGGATGGCAAATCTCCTGTCCCCAAGCTGGTACTGGAGGTCATTCTGACCCATGATGACTCTGCATCAGTCACCTTTCCTGCTGCCACAACTTAAAGGAGCAGAGCTTAGTTTGGCTCATGGTTCAGGGATGTCAATCACTGGCTTGCAGACAGAAACATCATGGCGTTAGAGTGTGGTGGAGGAATGCTCCTCACCTTGTGGCAGCCAGGAAATGGACAAAAAGGAGGGACTGGGGAAGGGGATCTGCCCTCCAAGCTACAGCCTCATGCCTGCCAACCAGGCCCCCTCTCCTAACCGCAAACTGGGACACTTACTTATCCAGGGTAAGTGTATCCATCAATGTGTATAGCAGCCCCCTGTTCTGATTAGCCTCCCAATGCCCCACCCCTAACCCATCAGACTTTTGGGGGACATTTTTGGATCTAAAGTATAATAGGCTCCCATCAAGTGGGGCTGAGCTCAGAGGCCCTGAGTCACATCAAATACCATGACACTGGGGCCCCAATATGCCCGCCCTCAGTTGCCTCTGAGAACATGGGGTGGGGTCAGTTTTCTACTCCACCAGAGGAGCAGAGACCCAGAGTGAGGGCAGTGCCTTCCTCTGCCAGCCACAGCGGAGCCCAGCAGGGCCAGTGCCTCTTGGAGGTCCAGCTCCAGAACCACAAGCACAAAGCCACCTACGTTCCCTGGACACGCCCTAACCTCAGGCATTGTAGGTCAGCAACAGAGAGCAGGCTAGAATATTGGATAGAAGGTTTATTTCTGATTCTTTTTTTAATGTTCCAGTATTCTGCCTCTTCTTGTATTCTATCTTGTCCACCTCATTGCCTCCTTGGCTTGTCTTTGGTGAGCTGGAAGCCTGTAGTTGCTTATGATCTCCAGGTATAGCTGGCTTTGGGATATTGAGTCTGTTGCAAGATCCTGCTTCTTCACCTTTGTTGGGGATGAGAAGTTGCTGCCCATTTGGCCTTTCCCCTGGTTCTCTGGCACTGGTCTGCAGTGTGGCTTATGACCCTTAGGCAGCCTCGGTCTTAGTGTA